AGAAAGAACAGAGGGGTTGGGATAAAACTGATCTTGCAATTTAGTTTCAGTGCCGTTCTTCAACAACGCTAGTTTAAATGGCCTGAGTAAACTCTGTAATTGCTTTCAAAACTATTGTAAACAATCTTGGGGAATGCTTCTAGACTAAATTACGAGTCCTAAGATTAGTTCAGAGACTAACAGAGGGTTAGGAATAAGCCGGAGAAGGAGCACAAGAGCTGAAACGACGCACCAGGGACGAAGGCTCTCAGAGGAAGTGAGAGCCGGCTCCATGGAAGTGGGAGCCGGCTCCCACAACAAAGTGGAGCCGGCTCTAGGGAGTCCTAGAGCCGGCTCTAGGCTGGAAAAGAGCCTGCTCCAAATTCTGGAGCAGGCTCCCTTGGTGTTTTTGATTTATTTTACGGTTTTTTTAATTTTCTACATACTATGTTCACTGTTGGAGCATGGAGACTGTTTGAATGAATTTGGAACTTTACAGAGGGATCAAGGAATGAATTTTGAGTGTTAGTAAGACCCTAAATTGAGTAAAGTTTAATTCTAAGTTGTCGGGACAAACTGTGTAAAAATTAAGGCACTTAACAAATGGAATTGAATTAATTGTTGAATTAAAATTCAGCAATTTGATGGAACATAATGTGTTTATAAAACTTGTTTTAGAATGCATTCAAGTGCATGATAGGGTCATTTAATTATTAATTTTGATCTATGCATGTTTAGGAGGCTAGTTGCGGAATTATTAAATTGTTTACTGCAACTATATGGCTAATGCTTGGATTTAAACTGCTGAAATATTTAAACAATCTTCTGAATTGTTTTAGCAATTTATTGGTTAATAATAGGATTATTTAACCTATTCACATGCATGATGGAGTCCCTGACATATTAAATTTGGTCTATGCATGCTCTGGATGTTAGTTGTTGATTTGTTAAAATCGTCTCCTGCAACTATATGGTTAAATGCTTGGATTTAAATTGCTGAAGCTTTAAATAGTTTTCTGCAATTGTTTGGATGGTAGTTTTTGGTCTGTAAATTATTGAACTGTTATATATGTTGTAATTTACATGGATATGGAGGATGGTATGTACCGGTATGGGACGGTGACATACTAGGGACGGTTTAGCTCAAAACGCATAAACCTAACCTAATGGATTAATGGAATGGATTGAAAGATATCGAATCCTAATTGTGACTAAGTCAGATCAGCTGTAACCAAGTTGGATGACTTCCTGGATTAACGGATGGTAGTTAAGTCATATCAACTGAATAAGTGGAGTGACTAACTAGTTGGTTTATTGTAGGTCAGTTTAATAAATAGTTGAACTGCTTACCTTGGATTTGGACGGACTTTATATATATGTTTATGGTACCACGAGTTGAGCTTGAGTCTCAGACTCGTTGGTTAGGGTGCGTATATGCAGTGGATGCGTAGCTGGTTATAATAGGTTGAGGTGTACCCTGTTAGGTCTAGGTACTCATGCCCACCTTTGGGTGCGTATTCGCATGTTGCCTTCTATTCAGGTTGAGACCCCTATTATAGACTAGTGAATGTCCCTTAGTGTGGATATATTTATATGTATGGACTAGATAGATATTGTGAGGTGTCTACAGTGTATCTGCGTATCAGGTCACTGTATGGATTGCAGTTAGATTAGAACTTGCTCGTGGGTCTGACCCACTCCTTTATTATTCTTTTCAGGTACAGGACGGTTCCAGCTTTAGAGCTTGATCGTGCTTGTCGAGGGCAGTCTCACCTTCATCTGATTACGTAGGACTTCTCTCGATATTTCTAGCATTATCTATTTTCAGTTTTCAGTTTCAGTTGAACTTTTGGTTAGGGGTCCATCAGTGGATTCCCAAGTTGTAACCTTGAAGTTTTGGAGGATTGGAGTTTCATTTTTCAGTTGTCCATGGAGGATTTTATAATTAATGTTTCTTTCAGTTTTATTCCATCACTTTTGTTTCATTTTGTCATCTGTGTTCGCTTTAAAATACTTTAATTGTTTGATATTCCCTCGGGTTTGGGCCTGGGCCTGATCAACCCGTGTCTCGGATCCGAGGGGTATCACACAACACTAGGTATTTATGAACCATTATCCAAAATATGCATCAATATAAATTAATACATATACATCGATATTAGGCATTCATTATAAAACCTAAAAATCATGTTCTAACTATTTAACTTGCTAAAATAAATCAAAGCATTTAAATCCTCCAAATTGTCCATAAATTGATACAATTAAAAGCAAGTTAAATACCAATTTACCAAACTAAACATAGTTAATGACAAGTAATTTACTACACTTATAACTCTGTTTAATTATGATTAAACAGTATTAAATTATATATAACAGAAGCTCTAAGTTCCAGCAAGTAATTTAATTAACCAAAATAGTGTGCAAACTACAGGTTTTTCCTTAAATTCATCTTACTCCATTCCGTAGTCCAATTATGAATTAATGTTTCCGCATAATATTACAGGTCTATAACAATCCCATACATCATTTAAAGCAGTTTAAACAGAGTAAAAATACCCTGTACAGTCCAAACAACGGCCTAAAAATAGTTAATACGAAATTCTGGGCGAGAGCATGCTCTCACAAATTGAGAGCCTGTGGGAGCTTGCTCTAAGAAGTTAGGAGCCGGCTCCACACTCCTTGGAGCCGGCTCCATCAATGAGGGAGCTGGCTCCTTCCTTTTGGGAGCCTGCTCTCTCACTCCCTGAAGCCCTTACATGTTTCTGCTTCGTCTTCCTCGCCTCCAGCGATACCCAGGGCCTCTGTAATTCTTTTACTACTTGTTCTAGTGTTCATTCAACGTCCCAGATTATTTACAAGACATCGATATGCTTCAACGATCTCAATTAAACAAAGCTTAAGCGCAAAGACAACAGGAATCAGTTAATAGAACTTTAAGAATTTGCAAACCAGTTTAATTCGACGAGATTAAATATAGTTTAAACATGAATAAAAGATTTTTTTTAGCATTAATTAAACCCCTGGAGTCTACCTAGGCAAGCACAGAACACAAGTTTAAGGGAAGGAGTTAGAATAGAGACTTGCCTCTGATTTCAGTTTAGAAATCTTAAACCGTCTTCTCTAGCAACTCCGGCGACCATAATTGCTTTTACTGACCTCTGTTGCTCCTAGTTCAACCCACGAGCAAACTAAATTTCCCCTCCTTGGTTCAGTCTTAGTTTAAGTCAAACCCTAGTCTTCCTCTTTCTATTTATCTCTGTTTCTCTGTATACGGGAGCTGGGTTTACAAACCCTTGGCAGACATACTGTTCTTTATATAGGCTTAACCAAAAACCTAATTCTACTTATATTAAAAGACGGCAACCTTAACTAATTAAAACCCTAGTCGGCTAACCCGTGAAACATAAAAGAATAATAAAACCCTAATTTAAACCAAGTAACTTATTTAACTAATTAAACAATTACTTCAACTAAAGGAAACAATAATAATCATAATTAAATCAATTAAAGAAAAAGCAAAATACAGTTAAATAAAGCAATTCACAATTAATTTAACTAAACAAGCAAATAAACAATTAAATAATTAAAAATGCAATTAAACAATTAATTAAAATACCATGACTATCTTTTTAAAATTAGGGGTATTACAATGATGATGATGGTCTGCCATCACCAATGCTGAATTTGTCTCGCCGTGCACTGCTGCAGTTCATCTACAGCCTTAGCCGCCGCGAGTCATTCACGGAGATTCAGTTCTACTGCCGTTCCGAGCCATCGCTGCATTTCACTGTCGAGAGTCCTTTTACCTAGCGGTGTTGTCGTTATTCGCGGTCGTGTGGTCGACCTGCCCACCACCGCCTATACCCAATAGGGGCATTGAACATGTCAGGGCAACAGAAACACACCAATCCGATAAGACCCACCTGAACAAGGGGCGAATTGTACTAGAACATGGATGATTTTCTGGTAACTTGGCTCGTCGTCGTGCCAACTTCTTCGTCTCCTTGGAAACGCATAATTCGATTGATGTGTTTAGAGAGAGAAAAGAGGAGTGATGTGGTAGGGAAACGATGATGTGGTAAGGAAGCCATGAGGTGTACTCAGGGGCAAAAATGAAACTTCCCAATATACAATATCTTTTAATTTTTTTAATTAAAAATAAATATTTTAATTTTAAGGTCAGAAGTGTAAATTTATATTGATTTTTTGTGGTCAAACGGTCAATTTGCACCTTTCTATAATATTGCTATAACTTCTATTTACATGCACAATATAGAAACCTTCGTGGGTGGTTTGTGTAATGTGCCCATAATATTATTCAATAAAATTCGAAGATCAACAATAAATACTAGCTGTAACAATAATTGGTTAGTCAAATAACGTTTTTCTCAAACTAAAAATAGCATTCTCCATTCCCTATCTCTCGTCCTTTCAGCCTTCCCATGCGCAAAACACTTGATTATCTGCCTGATTTGATGCAAAGGGAATTTGAAAACTCAAACTTTTTCCTCAAAAAATAAAAATAGAAAACAGTATGATTATATAAGTAATCTTTCACTCTTCTTGGAGGGTAAGTTTTTACTTCATTTTTTTCAATCAAAGGGATTCTTGAGCAAAATGTGAGTGAGTAAGTACCTACTTCCTCAATTCTACGAAGAAAGATAATTTTCCCAGACACTATATATTCTTTGAGAATTTTCCGGGGCAAAATAGGGCACTTCATGGAGAACTACCGCAATACCAACGGCAATTTGAATGCAACTACCCATGTTCTCTCCGGATTTTCACCCTCTATAGACCATATAGCTCACCACGTACCTCCCTTCCTTTATTTAATTAGAGATCATGAACCCTCTTCAGCAGCTAACAAGAGCAATTTCACATTATAACTTCATCGTTGTTCGTCACATTAAGACCCACAATTATGGTTTAAAAAATAGAATTATCTATTCATAGTGGCACGACCAACCAAGTTAGCAAGATGGCAAAAGATTTTTTAGCCATGTCAAGGCAAACACGACTTTTCACCTCATCACTCAAAAATGACTTCACTAAAATATTGGCAGTTTTGCTGGGAAAATACAGCTTTATGGAACATTTTCAACTTCGATTGAACTAAAAATCCTAGCTAGCAAGGGTTGGAAAAAGCCTCAAAACATTACTCCAAGGCTGTTACATAAATTGACTTGAAGCCAATAATACAGTTAAATACACAATCCAAGGTATTAAAATGCCACAGGCTCAGACTAACAAAAAAATTGAGAATAGGAGCCGATAACAACATAAACAGAACCTACACTGGTTTATGGCTAGAGATCAATGTCACTATGATGGGGCACCGAGGTAAGAGGCAAGCCGCAAAACGTCACTGAATATTCCACCAGCTGTAACTTCGGCGCCAGCACCAGGGCCACGGACTATAAGAGGCTGATTCTTGTACCTTTCAGTAGTGAAGGCTATGATGTTATCAGATCCTGATAGTTGTGCAAATGGATGATCATTCTTGTATCTTCCCAATTCCACGACCCCTTTTTGATTAGCCACATCCACAACCCCAACATATCTCAAGACCTTCAAATACCACAATTTATGAGAAGACATTAAACACACAGAAAGCATAAAGAAAAATAACATGACGCTTTCTTTCACAATATTCATTTCGGATTAACTACGACCATGCTTAAAAATGTAAGATACTCAATGCAGCCTTACAAGTCCAGTATCTTCCACTCTTTGTAGGTTAATCAACTTGTTATCATGCTTTTGTTTAATCATTTCAACTCACATTAATTTTGGTCTTCTTGTTCCCTAATGTAGGCCATGTTACTCTTTCAGTTGTGCAATTGTTAGTTTTTGCTACAAATTAGGAGTCCATCTTAATGGGTTTTCTCTTGTTTTATCATCAAAGGATGATGCTTTTATTGTCTGAAGAATGCATTAATTTTGAATTTTATTCCTTTTATTACCAAACATCACCACAATATCCGTATCTTGGGCATGCTTACAACTTTGTTTTTCGACCAACAATCTATCTCTTAAACTGCTTTTATTACAAAAAAAGATCATGGACAACATTCTAGTCATAAAAAGCGGATGCTTTTAGGAGTAGTTTTAAATATTTTACCTTCCAACCTTATTATTAGACATTACATAATACACCAAAAGCATTCCTCCTCTGAATCCATCCTACTTTCATTCCTCAGAGTATGCTATGTTAGCTAATTTTGGGGATGTGTGTAGGGTGCAGGTATGTATCCAAACGTCTGGCAACAAATTTCCTAATAGAAAAACACATAGACAACTACTAAATAATACGATCATTGGGAATGATTTTTAGGTATATGCTAACTAAAAATGTCAGGCATATCCCATGCCCGAGTATTGCAACACGGGCACTTCACTTGTTCTTTGGCTTTTTTCAATTTTCTTGCACATGATGTCTTCACCAACAAACCCCAACCCCCCCCCCCCCCCCCCACCCTTTTTCTTTTTTTTTTTTTTCTAAATTTATCATATTCAGATTTTCTGTAAACCAGTGATTTTGCATCATGCATGGTATAGTTCAATTATTGAAGTTGATACAACCACCCTAATAGCATACACCAAAATAATCTAATCAGTCCATTCATAATTAAAGCTAATGGTTCATCATGTTTTAACAATGTTTTTTTAGAAATCAATTGTCAACCATGGAGCTATCATGGGAGATAGAAGCTGTCATCCCAAATGACATGGAAAAGAGCATCGTGTGACAACATTCTAGGCTTTCTAGCCCATGGATTCGTAAAACGGAACCATTCAACTATGAAATGTCCAGAAGATCTTATAGAACTATAACCCATTAAATCCACTTCAGACTATTCAAACACTTCATATAGATTGGTCCAGTTTTGCTGGGGGAGAGAGGAGGAAGATAGTTAATTTGGCAATCTTAATTTGGTGCATTTGCAGACAGGTTAAATTTAGCAGTAATGCAATTGAGATACTCACCTCACCAGCATCCTCAGCATCCTGTAGTTTCTTAGCCATGTCTTGGTCAAATTGTGGCAGCTGCAGCAGGAAATCCTCGCCTGATGCACTAGCCTGAAATAAATCATCAGAATATCACATTAAATGGTGTTCCTCCCAGCAAATTGGCATATGCTTAATACAAACTAATTCTTACCCTTAATGGTTCTGGAACCAGGCTTTCAACAGGAATATCTGAAAGTTCTAGCTTTAAACCAGATTCTCTTGCAAGTATTATTACCTACAATATTAAAACTGATTTACTAACCTGAACATAAGAGTATAAAAGTAATAACATATTTCTGAAGCATAATGAGATCACTCGCTTAATGGCTTGTGTAAGGGGCCAAGTGAGGTATTTAATAGCAGTTTCTAGAAAGTTGTCCTGCCCATTCCAATCAGATGGCATGTTTGACAACATGTTGGGTGTTCAGTCAGCTATAAAGAGCTGCCAAGCTCAACCATGAAATCAGATTGGACCAGGGTGAAAACGAACAAATCAACATATAATTCAAAATTGTTTCCTTTTTCTAAAAGCACAATTATTACTCTCAGGGTAGCTAGCTTGCAATATATCATTTTCAGATAATATTTCAAATCAAGTATCCAGATAGCTTTTAAATGGAGATTGAAGAAATCTTTAGTGATTCAATTGCGTTTCCCTCATTTGCCAACTGATTACAGAGACACAAAAGTATTATAGAATTCCTTTATACAAATTTAGGACCCAATACCTTTCTGGCCACATCTGTTCCTGATAGATCATCCCTTGGATCTGGTTCAGTGTAACCTGCCTTTTTTGCCTCCACCACCACCTCACTGAATGCTCGTGTCCTTATGAAGTTGTTGAAAATGTAACTCAGAGTCCCACTGCATCAGTAAATCTTGAATTGAAGACAAATTTCCAGAAAACTAACATGCATGTAAGCAAAAATACTTCAGATACTTTGATAAGCACATTGATTAATCCCTATCATGTAGTATTTTTCACTTTTGCTAGTTTAACAAGTCAGTATGACTAACCTGAAAATGCCTTCAATACGCAATATTTTGTCCCCAGTTTCAAGTAGACCTTGTAAGGTGCTAATGATTGGGAGGCCAGCTCCGACAGTAGCTTCATAGAAGTAATGAGTATAGGATTTCCGCTGAAGAGCTCTCAACTTCAAATACTGGATTTGGATAACAATCCCATTACAGAAAACCCAATACAAGTTTCAACAAAATAAAATGCAAAAAAAAAAAAAAAAGGACACAAGACAGATTTTTGCTAAGTAAATTAGAATATTCAATAACATGAGAATTCCATCTTGCAGAAAGAAAGAAGAAAATTTTGGAGCATTCCAATGCCAAGTATAACTGCAGCTCACAAACATAGGCAAAGTATTCCAAGAAGGAGAATCCAAGTCTTCTTCTTTTTCTATTTAGTGAGCATTGGATGCTGTTTCCGCCTTCTGATCGGAAAATTGAAAGGACAGCCAATGGAATTGAATTGATCTCGATGCTTTCCTCAAAACTTGCAAAATTTTTCACTAATGACGACCACAACACAGTAAATCCAGCAGATATAATGTTACCTGATCAAGTGGTCCTGAATTTGCCTTCTTATTTGGGGTGATTACATGTATTCCTCTTCTCAACCAGTCATGATAACGGCTTGCAATGTTAGAGTCTGAAGTACAGTCTACCAAAACAGTATTTGGGATAAAATGATTCCCGTGCACATGTTGAACAAATTTCTCCAGGTTAGCCACATCTCCTTTCTCCTTTTGAAGTTCTCTCCATCTAGATAAGTCAATACCCCTACAATCAAAGATGAAAATGTCAAAGGTCATAGTCAAGAGAATTCTCAAATGGCTAACAAAAAGATTCATCAACTACCAAGACCCGGAATAAAATGAGAATTAGAGAACATCATCCTCGGAAAGACACAAGACAGTGGTGGTTGAAACACCGAGCAGAGAGACTATTCAAGACAAACCATTACACACTTTAGCAGAAGGCAGCAAAAAGGAAGGAGGTTGGAAAAGGAAGAAGTTTCAAGTGGAATAATACTATGTTCTGTCAAACACTCGCTTTTGTGCTAATGAAGTCCACAAAGCAAGAGATTCAGTTAGACAAATAGGATGTCCATTCAGAGAAATTCAGTAAGACGAGAAAAACCTAAGACTACAGCAAAACTGTTCTTTTGGGCAAAAGAAATAAAATAAGCCAATGAAATAATTATCACAAAAAATAAATAAAATTTAAACCTAAATTCTTCTAAAGAATAGCTAAGTTACCACCAAAAGAAGTTTTAATTTGCACATATAATATTAGTATTGTTAAAACAATGAAACATTAGAAGGACAAGCCTTGTGCCTCACACTTGTGAATCTGGACGTCCTAGCTTCATCTGTCTCCTTGTCTTTAAAAAAATAGAAAATAAAAATGAAAATAAAAATAAAAACAATGGAAACTCGCACTAAGATAGAACATAACTTATTTAACGATGGCAAAGGACAACAATAAAAGAAAGTAGGTAAATTTTTTTAACCATATTCCTCCTGACAAATCTAACGATTCCCTCCCAGGTAGATTATGAAGCTGGTAGATTATTTCTATCAAAATTTATTTCTAACTATATGCATTATATAAAATATTAGGTATTAAAATGAGTTGCAAACTAAAGTTGAAATCAAGAAAAGGTTCTTACTTTGCCCATTGAAACCCTAGCCATTTTGAGGGGTGGTATAATATTTGTGAACATATCTCTAACTCGTCCATAGACTTCATCTTGTCGTTTATGAAAAGACCAGGTGACCATTTTACAGAGCCTCTTCACATCCCACATAAATGATTCAGATGATTCAGAACAGTTTCTCAGAAATGATTCAGATGATAAATGCTCCAGGGTCTGCATTCACTCTATGGCCCACATTGTGACTTGGAAGCGGTGATATAGCAAGTGAACATTAAGTAAATTGTGCACTCTGAAAGTCATAAAACATTCATATCTGGCACTTGAGGAGGTCAACTTAAGTATTGGAAGCTACTGCTGAGGGGACTTCCCTGTCATATATAAAGGATAGACAATTAAGAGAATTGCTAAAGGCATGTATCATTGGAGACATAAATGTTTTTTTTGCAAGATATCTACGGACTGCACCTTCTCTTGCACTGCCCAGTGGCTCATGACTGTTGGAGTCTAATGTTGGGTCTTTTCGGCGTCCAGTGGGTTATGCCCCGGACCTCACGGGGCTAGATTGATATTTGGATGGGCCAAAGAGTGGGGGCTCGTGTTCGCGATTTCTGGAGGGCGACTCCTCTTTGTATTTGGTGGTGCCTTTGGAAAGAACGGAATAGGAGATCCTTTATTGGGGAGGAGTTATCCATTGGGGCGTTAAAGTATTCTATTATTTTTTCTCTTTTTAGTTGGGGTATGGGGAGAGATTGTACATCTGTTGATGAGATCATGGACTTTTTGGGGTCTTTGGGTCCATAGGTCGTCCCCTTTTCCTTGTTGTTTTCTGCCTTTTCGGTTATTGTACAGCTCTTGGGATGCGTTCCCCTTTTGAATGCTTTCTAATACATCTTTACTTATCAAAAAAAAAATCTATGAAATGCAACTGTACAGCCATTTTATTTAATCATTAGTCATGCCGATTGTCCATGAAGGCTTCATTACCTCGTATAAAAAACCAAGAATTCCCCAAAGGATTTGCAATATATGCATGTGTATTGTAAATGTAACTCAGTCGCAACATATTATTATGAGGTTCTCCTGGTTCCTTTGCAAATCATTTTTTAAGAGTGATCATCCCCTGTGGTCATGCAAGGCAAAGGAAAAGGCCAAACAAGATAGTAAGGGAATATATTTAGAGGATGTGGTTTCACTGAGAATTTGGCCTTATACTAGACTGGTGAAAGAATTCATGTAGCAGCACCAAGTAGTCGGGAACAAGCTTTATTGAGTTGACTTGGTACAATCTTCTATGCAAGGTCCATTAAGCTTGAAAAAAATCACCACATCCTCTACTAATTTTAAACAATGAGACTGTACTATTTTTGCGTAGGGGACTGTGACAAATTACCCACCATCTAATTCGGAAAAATAAGTTAAAACATTTCCCAATGCTATAATGACATTCTTTCAGAGGTACATAAATATTAAAGCACATCTTTTACAGACCCATTTTCTTTCTTTTGCCTCATTACTGAAAAAATTTCTGATAATCAAATTTTATGTACAGAATACAGATGACTTGTCAAAAATTTGCATCAAATGTGAAAAAATAATTGGAAATCCTAAGTTATATATTCAAAACTATAACTTGTATCGACACATCACACACAATATTTTATATTGATATTTATTTTAAGCACATAGGAACTAAATTTATTTGTTTGAACATAGTAAACACTTGAAATTTTTATAAAAATAGAAATTTATTGAATTTTGTTAGTAAGTTTAATGGAAGAGTTAGAGCTTGTGAGAATTTGTTTCTTGGGTTAGAGAAGAGAAGTAGAAGAAGAGAAATCAAGGAAACAAGTAAAACACTAATGCCCCAAAGTAAATAAGTAAAACACTAAACACACTCCAACTCTAACAGGAATAAAAACATCAAAATTCATATATAATTTTATCAATAGCCCCAAAATTATGTCAAATTTGAATAAATTGATATCAAACAATATAACTGTTGTGTATTTTATTTTTTAATTTATGTCTGTGCATATATTTATGAAAAAAATATCGCACCACGATAAGCCTCATAAACACATATAAATCAATACTTGCTATGTTACATAGTTCGATAACTAAGGTGTCAAAGATGGTAGTGGTGGTGGCAGTGATGGCACTAGCTTTGGAATACTTGATATGTTACATAATTTGACAACTAAGGTGTCAAAGATGGTAGTGATGGTGGCAGTGATGGCACTAGCATAAAGCCAAAGCTGGTGGGGAAATCCTGGTCGTGGTGACAGTGGTAAGTGGTTATGATGGTAAGAAAATTTGGTAGTGCTGGTGGAAACAAGGAACAGAGAAATGAGAATGATTAAACAATGGAAAGGGTTATAGCTATGTTTGTGTTTGTTGTTCCCCCTTCTCTCAAGTTCTTGTTACTAAAATTTTCAAATGACTCCCTTGGGATTAATTGATTATCTTTTCAGAACTCTTAACTCATTTCTTAGTTATAGGGAGAAATACTGTTCCAACTTGAATCAAGCACATTCTAAGAAACATAAAACCATCCTACCACACAGAAAATGGTTTTAAATTGGCTAAAATAAAATGACGCCCTTAAAAAAAATTCTAACACGAATGATAGTTTTATAGGTTAGAAGGCAGAACTATCCCATAACTAACAAAAACACGGACATATGGATATAATAACGCAAGCAAATCTTGCATAGCAAGCATATGGGAGAGCATGGTGGCGTAGATGGAATGGGTAAAAAGAGCAGTAGGAAAACACAGGGAGAATGTGAAGCAACTTCGAAAAGCATTTACAAATCCTCTGTAATACTTTTCAAAGGAGGACTTGGGTGGAAAAAGTGGTTATAGCCAATTCCATGGTCAAGAAGAACAGCCAACACTAACCTAGAACCAGATATATGAACTGAAACAATGTTTAAAATTATTTTTTCCAGTAATTAACCACGTTTAAAATTATTAACTGCAGCAAATTAACAAAAAGTATGACTATTGTACTTGGTGTTAATTTTCTACATTTAATAATTTTTAAGGTGTTAATTGCTGCAGTTCATAGTAATAAATAGAATTTCTAAGTGAATGAACAGATTCTAATTTTAATTATATAAATAGAATTTCTAACTAAAGAATTACAAGCTAACTGAGAATTAACAATAAATAGGATTAACAATAAATACATGACTGATACTTACCTACAAGAATATGTACATGACTGATAATTTCTGAGTTCTATTTACAATTTTAGTTTATCATTTAAAGGAATTTTTCTCAATATCATAGTAGATCGCAAAGTTGGCTGCAAAAGAATCATGCATTTGAAAATGAAGATGACAAACGGGCATAACCCTCTGACATGGGAGTAGAAAAAAAGAATGTTCTTTGAGAACTTAAAACTTACTTCTCACTCAAAAGCATTGTCCTTGAGCCAGAGATACCCATAACACGCAAATCAATGTTAAACTTTTCCTTGAGGTTTGCTGCCTGCAAATGAGAATTCATGTAAAGCGGTGAGCATCATATGTGTATGCTTTAGAAACTTAAAAGCTAAAATTCTTTAAAATCAGTTTTATCTTCACCAGCAAAATATGAAGCAATGCAGAGAGTACAGCATTAGTTAATGCACTCAAGATTTTAGACCAAATTTAAGCTTGTAATCAACTAAGTGAACTACATTGCTTTGCTTCTAGACAAGATTATTTTTGCAGATTTTAAACTAAAGAAAAAGGTTATATGAGCCTCAGTATCCATTACAATGCTCAAGTAGGTACAAAACTTTAGTTGGGTTTTCCAATATAAGTTGGCTTGTCCTTCCAGGAATATGTGTCATCCAGACAAATGACAGCAGATTTATCCTCACAAAGAATGACGAGTTGTCATCCATTTACATCAAAAATGAAATGTATATACTTTCTGTTATTGTTAAAGTAACCATTGCATGATGGTAGGAATACATTGATTTGGAGAGAACATTTTATCAAGTTCCTTAATCCAACATCAAACGTCTATATGGATAGACATGTCAGGTGCAATTAAAATGGATATACTTTTACCTGACCAATTATCCTCTAAACTTTTTCTTATACGGAGTATATTTTTAAAAAGAAGCAGAATAAAATCAATGTAGAATCTTTAAACCTTGTCTTAAATTTAAATGAGTGCCCATCTATTTGAATTATTGACATATGCCATTTAATAAAGTACTATATATATATATATATATATATATATATATATATATATATAAAAATTAATAGGACTGAACAAAGAAAATATGATACAGGATCGTGAACTTTAAGTTGTTAATAACTTGTTCAAAGAACCATATTAAATGATGTCAATGTTATGATTTGCATATTCAACACAATAATATAGAAAGAATTTTGACAAATTAAATATTAAAAAATAGATGACCAACCTGATCTCTGAGCTGGTCAAGTAACGTGCCACCGATCAATCCAGGTCCAATAATACCCATTGCTATTGTGGTTCTTGAGAGATAAAATCTGGAGTGGACAGCTCTTAAGGCCCTTATACAATCTTCTTTCTTGACAACTACAGTTATATTGTACTCTGAGCAACCTTGAGCTATTGCACGGACATTAATATTAGCCTGCAGTACAATGACTATCCATAAACTTCTCATGAAATTATGAGAAACGTGTATATAAAACCCAAAAAAAAAAAAAAAAATTCAGTAAGTCGAAAAACAAAATATCAAATTCCACCGTGGAGAGGCAGAAAAGACAATTTATTGCCAAAAGTTTCAACAATGAAGTGCATACTCAGCAATCAGTAAATAGTTCTAAAACTACTAGAAAGAATGATATATATATATATATATATATATATATATATATAAAGAAAGAAAGAAAGAAAAAACCCTGCTGGCAAACCAATATTTGTTTCATATACTCCACTTCCTATGTATAATCAGTTTTCATGCATTCACAAATTAGAAGCAGGAAGCTACATAACAACATGGCATACTACCATGTGTATTTGGAGCAATATATTTCACCAACCTTTGCGAGTGCATTGAAAAGTGTTGCACTAACTCCAGGAGTACTTGCCATTCTTTGGCCAACAGCTGCCAAAATGCTACAGTTTGGAATAACTGCAACCTGAGAAAAGCTGAAATCGTTAAGATTGGGAACTGAAGAAGTAGAAAGAAAAACATAAAAAAGAAAAGAATCTCTTAGTATAATGAATGATATTATCAGTGTCATCTAACGTCAAAGAAGAAAAAAAAGACCTCGAGATTCTCATAATCTCATCCATTTAGGAAAGGGATTGAATTGATATAACCTTCAGCCTCCCATGATAAAATAAATAAAATTGAACATATTAGTTTCATATTGTTGGATAATATCATAACTATGCAAGATTATATAGTATTTGCAACTGACTGGGTCATAAGCACAAAAGATATCCTTAAGTGACTCTGGATGCCCATTTCAAGTTTCCAACTGATAGTACATTACAGAAAAATAAAAGATGGAAAGATGATCTCAGGTATGAGCCAAAACTATATCAATCATATATGCTGGGATAATTATGTCCTTTGATAGGCATACAGAAAATGCATACTGAAGGCCAACACTAATTACAGCAGAGGTATGCCATCGAATTGGTTTGACAATCCTTGCCACAGGATTTTCAAACCAATCTGAAGTGGCACCCAGCAAACCACCCAAGGAGTGAGGACCCTCAGGGTTGTAATTATTTGTGCGTCTCTTTCGCCTAACCTTTCCAAACCTGTAATAAAAATGATTCAGGTTTGATCTGGTCTTGAACCCCCTTCCTTTCACCCCTTCTCACCACTTGTTTAAGTCTACGACATTACTTGATCCCTAGAACATATCAGAAAAATATTGTCTAATGTTATTAGCCGTGCTAGACCAAATGATCTCCTGTAGACTTCCCTTTCTCAACTCAATCAGCAGAGCCTTGGAACCAACATATTGAGTTAGCACCTTCAATACTATAGTGACTGTGGGCAGTTGGGCTGCTACAGTTCAACTTTATTAGTACCATATATTCTATTAAATTATAAGAATTTATGTCTTTCCTCACCAGGATAATTTTGTTTCTCCTCTTGTTTACTAAATCATGAAATTAGATCACTCCTTAGTGGTGCACTAATTAATTATCATGGCACATGAAACCATCCTAGACAAATAAAAAATAAAAAATAAAATGATTTTACAAGTACACATGATGTCACAGGAACCAACACTTTAGGTGCCCATGTGGCTGAAAAATAATGGACCGATTAAAGTATAGTTTTATATCACAACTTTTTTAACTTCTACCCTTTCAAGTTATAGTCTTGTAGAATTATCAGAAGTTTAGCAAGTAATGGTTGTGTAAGGAAGTACAATTTTTATAAAGGAAACAAAGAAACAAATCCAAAATACTATCAAAAAGACTTGAAAATCATGATATACAACAATTGGAAATTAAAATAATTATAGCATAATGAAAACCATATTATATTCAACAATTATATCAAATCAATGTAGGACACCTGAGAAAGACGTCCAGCATTCAAAGCTTGACGAAATCTGGATTCTAAAGCCTCAGCAACAGCTTTTACTTCCTTCTCAGGCACAGCAAAGCATACAGAATGCTCACTACTAGCCTGCATTTGAGCCAATCACTAACCATGCAAATTTTACAATTTCAGAATAACATTGAAAGAACATTGGAGGATGAAGATACCTGGGATATCATGATAACATTAGCTCCTACATCTTTCACAGCACCAAAAATGGCACTAGCTGTACCAGGAACTCCAGCCATCCCAGTTCTGCAAAAAGCATTTGCAATGTACAACTTAAATGGAAAAGGAAGGTAAATACTACACATAACCACCAAGGAAGACAAGACAAGCAGAATGATATATTCAATACAAGCTCACCCCTCGACGTTTACGAGTGCCAAATTGTCTATGGTTGCAAACCCTTTGACAGCATATTCCAAATTGTTGACATCTTCAAGTTCATGGACAGAAGGCCTGCAGATCATTGTTCCAGGTGCAGAGAGCTTGAAGATATTTCTTATAACAATTGGAATGTCGTATCGCATTACTGGAATTATAGTACGCGGATGTAAAACATTTGCCCCAAAATATGACTGCACAAGCATGCAAATTTTGTTGTTAAAATATGTGTCATGGCAAGTCTCATCAACTTTAACAGGTACAAGAAGAAGAATCTCTAATTCACCATTTCCCAGGCCTCTTGATAAGACAACGTCCTCAGTGCAACAGCCTCACTAACTGCAGAAAAAACGTCCTTCAGATCAAACTACTAGTTAATATTGTAACTGAATTTTCCAAAAAGTTAACTTCCATCATCCAAATGATGTTGTAAGAATTGTGTTTAGAGGGGTAGATTCTTAATATAAAATGAAAAGGATCAAAGCAGGTCTTAGAGACAAATTCATGAGAATAGAATGTTTACGTGACTTATAATACACAAATTAGCAGGTCACTTCAAACCTTTTCTGGGGTCTGCACTGTAGACACCGTCAACATCTGTCCAAATTGTGACTTGGCGTGCCCTGAATAAAGCACCCATTATAGCGGCAGAGAAGTCACTTCCATCTCTCTTTAAAGTAGTAGGAATATTTTGAGGTGTGCTAGCTATGAAACCAGTTGCAATGATTGTCTTTGATGGATTTTGAGAGAACCAATTCTCAAGTCTTTTTTCCGATTCCATATAATCTGGATCAACTTGATCAGAACCAGTAGGATTTACAATAAGGACTTCCCTCGTGTCCATCCAGTTACAATCCATCCCATTCTGTAGCAGGAAAGATAACCAAATTCAGATAACTAGTTAAGTCACAACAGTTATATTCCTCAAATAAAAAACAGCCAACAGCAGCAGCACCTTTCTTACAACAGACGACAACATCTGAGCCGACCATAGCTCTCCATGTCCTACGACAAAATCTGTAAACGACTCTGTTGCATGACCAGCTGCAATAGATCGAACGAGTAAGTCAAAATAATATGAAATATCTTTCTTTGTCAGAAAAGAGAACCCAAAGGACAAGGAGAAAAAGAATTGACAAACATTTAATGTTATACAGATGAACAATTGCAGAATAGAATACAAATAAGGATTTCAAAAGGAATAATCTTACGCCAAATACAACTCTTAGTTGCAGCAAACAAGACAATATTGCCAAAACATTCTAGGCAAAATCATGGATCAAATAATGCATATTAAAAAAAGGAAAAATATGGATAATGAAATAACTAGTACAAGAAGCTCCGGTTTTCCTGGATGACAATACAAAGAAAAACAATTCAAAATATTCAACATTTTTAGAACAGGTCCAGGTCCAGGGCCAACGATAATGATTAAGTTCATATACGAGATTCTTAAGAATTTGATCTACTTTATGTATGATTTGACTAAGTAATTAGGGCTTCGATGCATCTTTCCAACCCCCTGGCACATGTTTTAAGGCACATCTAATAAGTTCTATGTACTTTACATTTAGGTTTGCACTACATTACTTCACATGACGGCCATGTGTCCAAGTCACATGTATCAAATCCTCAATCTGTACACCGCGACACTATTAAATATTCATATTATTTTCTACAGAAATATTATGCTACATAGTGGTCAACATAGGTTTTCACTAGTTTAAATCACTAATGTAGTAAATTGAACTACTATAAATGCTTTTTAAGTGCAAACAGGTAGCCATATCCAATTCTCATTTCCAAGTGTTGCATTTCAAACATAGTTACTTCGAACAATGTAACGAACTTTGCAAAGGGAAAAAATGAAAAGGAAAATATCAGTTATGACACATTCAACCATTCATCCCATGTGATGAAATAGTTCGCAAACCATTTAGTACAACTTTTATGACATCATGAAATAGTTTGCAAACCATAATGTACCGTCCTGACAACCAATTTTCCAGGGAGCACTATGATGCCCTAAGATAAAAGCCCTAGCAAAAAATGGTGATTTTAGTGCATGACAATTCTACAGGGTTTGCATAGAGAAAATATGTCAGAGTACCATTTATAGAGATTTGGAAGATTATCTCATTTTGTATAGGTTTCTGTGTTACAGAGTTTGAGCCTTAAGAGGTAATATTGACCTTGGATAACCTTCAGTTAAGGGATTAAAAATGACTCTATACAAAGTCTAAAGAAATTTCTGATCACCTTCCACTTCCCTGTAAGGTGGGGTGTGAGCTATGCACTGCTCTCTTTGTTTGGAGGATTCTCATGGTTGGTGGGATGTTGTTAAGGGAAGACTCCGACAAACTTGGTAGGCTACGCCCCTATGTATCAAGAGGTGTGCATGGCATAACTTGAGTAGACATACGTTCTGAGGACAGAAAATCTTACTTTTCAAAAAAATAAAAATAGCAGAAAATTACTATCAAATCCTACTTTTCACATTGAAAGACAAAAAATTAAGTTGCCAAAAGTACCATTTTTCGCTTAAGAAATACTACGTAGAATAATCATAGTTTTTTAAAAAAATTAGCTAGGCGCGCCTGACAAACAGGACGAGGCGCAATCAAGGCGCGCGCCTAGTAAACATCAGTGAGCCTGGGATGACAACAGGCGCTAGACCTGAGCCTCGGGCGCGCCTTTAACAACATTGATACACACACACACACACACACACATAGTGTTATATGTATTTATTAATATACATCTTTTTTCCCCCTATTTGTTACTCACACAACCCCCCCCCCCCCCCCCCCCCCTTCCAAGGAATTGTTTGCACCCAGGAAGAGTCGAACCTTAGACCTAATGTTTTTTAATAAACATCTATCGTATAAGACAATTATAAAACTTCAATTAATTTATAAATTTTATACTAAAAGTTAAATAATTTAGAAAATGAAGTTATACGAGCATTGTGAAGGTTATATAATATTCTCATACTCTGTTATTATAATTATATTTTTGTGGTGTCATTAGATGCTCGACTTGTGGTGACCATGTGAATAATGTCAATTTTCTTAAAGAAAAATGGTTCGAGACTTTGATGTGTCACGTGTGTTCATATTGTTTTCCAGATTGTCAGATGTCATTACTCTTAAAAGTATTTTTATTATTCAAGAATTGCATTGAGGATATTTAGGATGCATAGGCCATGTGTCCAAGATGTGTTGTCTACGTGTTCAAAATCATGACTGGATTTGACACATCTATAGAAGTGTCCATGCTTCTTTGAATACCATCCAAAACTTATAGAGTGAACTGGTGATTAAGATTAACAACAGTTCGACCTGGCGTAAATAAATTAGATAGATATATATTTAAAGATCAGCATACCTATATATATTGCACGAAGCATAGCTTTGAGGTTATTGATGTCATGATGCAACCGGGATAAGAAACTAGCAAGATCATCCCCATCAAGTAGTTCCAGTGCTGTTAACCTGTGCTTTTCTAAAACAGCATCCAGTGCAGATGTATAAGAATCATCCCGTGACTGTGCCTTGCAGATAAGATCATACATCATATCTGTCACTTTTGACATTGCAGATACAACAACCAACTTTCTTTCTGATTCATCATTAACAACTATTTCTGCAACATTCCGGATTCTTTCGGAACTGCCCACACAGGTGCCACCAAATTTATGGACAGACCAGGTGTCACCTTTAAGAAGCTGAACCGATTCTATGGAATCACCCAGAGAAACATCTGCCGATAAATATGAGGCAGGCATGTAAATAGGGATGTATATTATAAACATGACTTCAAATTTCAAAACATCATTTAAGACTGACTGAGGGCAGAAAATGAACCTGCAACTGAAGCAAAAATGTGAAAATTTGATGACACACTTCTTCCCCACTGACAAAAAGAACCCATTCTGAAACGCAGAAAACAAAAGCTAACTTCTTTAGCAGTTGAAAAAATCCAAAAATGTACACTCAAATATAGGTGGAAATTGAAAGGGAAAATCACTTGATACCAAGATTTCCAGCTTGCAATTTTGTAGTCTAACATATAATTCATTGTAAAAAATGCCTTAAAACGATAGAGGAGCCAAATTCGCATATAAAACAGAATGTACCCATTCATGCCTGTATACAATAACTATATGCAACAGAATAAAAAACAAAAAATACTAAGTAAGTGAATACTGGTAGTGCCTTGTGATCAATCCAACCCCAAGTAGTAGGAAATAGACTTTGTTGAATTGGGTGTGGCCAAGATGTGGCACATGATTGACTCACTTTTTCCCTGTTTAGACTTGCACATGACTCAAGTATTTGGATCTGCTACATGAATTCCATCTTGCTTTGCCACTACTTCCCAAAGGGAGGTCAGGGGTTCGAACCTCAGTGGAGGCATGTGTGTGTGAGTACCAACTAGGGGGAAAAAAAAAATTCCATCTTGCTTTACCATTCTAAAAGTGCCATTATTGCATTAGTGTATAAAGCACCAGGTCCAACTGCAACTCATGAGTCACTGATCTTCTCTTGTACTTGCAACAACGAACAACCTAAGCATGATTAAGGCATATTCAGGGCCTTTATCAATCACTAAAACCAATCTAAGCCAACTTTCTCAAACTTCGTATAAACTGTTAGTGCTATATCCAAAGTCGCATTTGTTTCTAAATGCATAGACTTGACAAGAATATGGTTTGTCTTTCTTAAATTTGATGACTCGCCGCACATTCATCTTGACATCCTCATTTTAGATAACTAACTTAGGTTGGGGAATTTCTAATGTTGCAGGAAATGCTCATTAAAAGAACGTGCAACAGAAGCCCAAACTCTAACTCTAATGACTAGTTATTGAAACAAACCACCTATAATAAAATCTTACACAGACAAGCGTAGCCAACAATACAGAACACATATTAATTTAAAATCACTCCGCATATTATACAGATTTTGTGTTATTACCATCATCACATGCAAATAAAGTAAAATAAAAAGAAACAAAAGATATCAAGAAGAGCCAAGTAAAAACCCTAAATCTAAGATGCTATAATTATAAACAATTCAAAGTTGTTAGTAAAACCAATTCAACTGCATTAAAGAAACGAAAGAACCTTGATTCCGTTTGGTTGCCTAGACAATGCACGAAGATAAAAGAAATTCAAACTACGAATCTTGAATTCTTTGCTTGTTATTTGGGAGCGTGTAACATAATTAAAGCCAACAAACGACAATTTGAGCAGTTGAGTGCATCAACTCAATCTAACGAGTAAAATAAATGTATCAACTCATCTTTTAAAGAATCAAGAACGACAGAAAACAAATTATTCGTTCTTTTCTCTGCTTTCTCGGAAACCAAAAGGGAAATTGAAAATGAGAGAAAAAGAGAGAAATATTTTACTTGCAGATCGGAGAGCGGTGGAGAAGAGGGAGTGTTGATGGAGCGATTATCTTCTTGGTATCGACATCGCGTGACAATGTGTTCGGCGAGAGGGTGTAGGAAGAAGAGAGCGAGATCGACGAACAGAGAGCCATTAGCCGCCGCTAGAATTGAACTACAACAAGAGAAAGAAACAGTTGTTGTTCAGTGTGTATTATTTTGGCGGCTTTGGGGTATTGAACGAGGACTGATGGTGAATGATATCATGCGACTGAGCTGCCGAAAACGCATGTTTCAACCATCCAAGTCGTGACACGTGCGTACAAAAATCTGAAAGTTGAAAACGTGCCACGCAAACGTAATAATAATAGAGAATTGATACAGTATAATTTTTTTTATAAATTCCCTAATTAATTAAAAATTAAAAGGGAAGAGAGGGATGGCATAGAGAGTGGAAAGGTAAAATGGAGGATGAGTGAGGGAGGACACTAATGTCTTCACCAGCCCCTGATATTCCCTAGCTGATGGTTAAAGTGCATGATAATATTGTAAATTAAAAATTAAATAATATTCTTAATTCTCAAATGTCTTAAAAACAATGTCTTCACCAAACAACTTTTGTATTTTGAATTACTTTTTTATCAAACTTACTTTTTCAAAGGCATTTTGAACGAGGGATTTTGAACCCTAAGAAGCTACTCCAAACACTTCTTTAATAACCTCTTTGGTTTTTTCATGAAGAAAGTCTAAAAATACTTAGTAAAAGGTATCTAATTCAATGATATCTCTTTTATTTTAAAAAAAAAAAGAGAAAATAATTATTACGTCACTATGTGAGCAAAAGCGTGTGGGATGTGTTTCTATTTATTTATTATTTTCTTTTTTTTGTCAAAAACACTTTTTTATTATTATTTACTGTTAATCAAATAAATTTTCATGCTATTCATTTTTTCCTAAAAACATAAGAAATAAAACCCCTTTTCATTTATTTTTTCTATTCATCCATAATACCATAATACACTCCTTAATTATCTAAATTCAACAATATAAGATATAGTAGAGTGGAACTTTGGATCACCGACCCCAATTGGAAATAAAAATACTGCAAATTTGTTTTATTTCTTATAACAAGTGAGCTAAAATTATATAATTTTTTTCTTCACTTCATTTTTCAAATACATTTGAAAGATTACCATCATTTTAATTTTTATTGTCTAAACACGACAAAATATTAATACCATTCTTTCTTCTTCTTTTTTTACTATTTTTTTTTTTTTCTCCTCTCTTCTAACCATTGCATCATCTCAGTAAATTACACTTTCGTTTCCAATCATTTGTTTGAATTAAATATATTTCTTATCATCTCAGTAAATTACACTTTCGTTTCCACTCATTTGTTTGAATTAAATATATATCTTAATTCTATTTGTTCTAGAAATATTATGCAAACCTCATCCGTATAGGGTGGCACTTTAGAAATGCCATATGCGTTGCAGAAGCTTTTTTCTAAGAGATAATAGTAAGTACTCTAAATTATTTCCATTTCTTTAACATCACGAATTTTTTTTTTTTTTGTTGTAGTACTTAAACAAAACACAAAGAAGGATAAGAGGAGTACGGTACAAAAGGAAATGATAGACAAAACTTCCTTACAGAAAAAAAAAAAAAAAAAGAAAAAAAAACTGTCTTATCGTTTTCCTGTTAAAGAAGTCTCACCAAACAATAAAAAATTTTGATGCCCTTAATAGCATCCTGAACCAATTCCACATTTTATAAGAAATGAACAAGACACAGTTTACAAACACAGCTTATTCTTTGAGGAGTGCCCTATGAAACTTTCAAAAGCTGGTGAAATGCCTCCTGAGGAATATCGACAGATCCAATGCGCTTCATTCGCTTTTTTCCTTCCTTTTGCTTTTCCAACAACTTCTTCTTGCGAGTAATATCCCCACCATAACACTTGGCAAGGACATTCTTTCTCATAGCAGAGATCCTGAAACAAAGATAGCCTAAAATAAACTGCAGAAATTGGGTGGACTATTTTTAGTAATAGAAGTTACATAAAATAGGAGTCAAAAAAGGAAATAGTTTGATCTGAAAAAGTACTCTATCATGATAACTGTTTAACTCATTTTGTATCATACAAGAAACAAATTCCAATTGTGTTTGCGTTTGGAGAAACATATGGCACTCTATTCCATAAACATGGATTGGGAGCAATTGAAAGTGCTCATCCAGCCAACTTTGCTCTTTGGGAGGTGAAACAATGGTTGAAGAGGCGAACAATTCAAAATGACTGCATTGAAGATATATTTCTATACATATAAGACGCTTTTTCTGGATTGTGTTCTTATGGGGCGGGAGAGAGAGTTCCAATAGCGAAGGAATTAGAACTATTGGTACCACTAATCAACTACATGGACTCCTTTTTTTGTTTGGATCCCCCTTTCTACATTATTTATTGAGCCTGGTGTGGAATCACCATCACTGCACACTTGAAGAATCACCAATCATCAAAGGAAAACCTTGTACCAAATAGATCTCAAGATACATCCAAGTCATGCCCAAGGAAATGAGATTTTTTTTTATTTTGGTTGACCCCACCAGGGCCACCGTGCTGACAGGCTGCTTAATGGACCAACTGTTCCACCCCTTGGCGTTAATAGAAAGATCTATTTCCTAAACACAAAATCACTTCTTTAACCAAACACTAATGCAAGTATTAAGCTTCTGAATTAATTACTCTACCATAAATTATCCGAGCGAAATACTCCATTCCAATTAATCAGAAAACTACATTGTACAATACAACAACGACCTGGAATCTAACATCATATAATTGATAGGGCAATGCAGCATTACCCAACTACTAATGCTACACATTCAGTAAAATAATCTATCTAAAGAAGATAAAAAAATTATAGCAATACATCCATATGGCTCACAAAAGATGAACTTTTAACTCCCACCCAAACTCTTTCAGCTAACTCAAAATTTTAATTTTTTTTTCTTTTTTTTTTTTTTTTAATCCTGGCAAACTAGGGGGGGAGAGAGCTGGACGCTCTACCAACTTGGTCACTAGGTAATGTCCAACTCTCTCGGCTAACATAGTCGGTCTATTAAGTTGGATAGAATATCATTTTCCTAATAATATGGTAAGTCACAGGTCAACATCTAGGCTGCATAAATCCAACTGTTTCATGTCAACTAAAGCTGTAAAAGAGTTTGTTTGGACAGTCACACAACCTATGTAAGATTCAGAAGCCACGCAAGTGCCCATGCATCAGCACCACAAGAAAGAGAAAACTCTTGACCATGAGAAAACAAGCAAAAAAACCACAAGAATTGGCAAGAACAATCGCCAGTGAAAATTATTTAGGCAACAGGAAAGCAAATGACTTACGTTTCCCTCGCAATAATCTTTGATCCAATAGCAGCCTGTATCGTTATTTCAAACATCTGCCTGTTCCGTATTAAAAAATTAAGGAATCACTGAAACAAGAAACAAAATCAGTTGAAAACTAACAATTAACTTTGAATCAGCACACCTGTCTATGAATTTCCTCAGCTTCTCCACGAGCTCACGACCAACACGTTGTGCTTTTAAATTATGCACAATGCTTGCCATTGCATCAACTGGTTGTCCATTCAAGAGAATATCGAGTTTCACCAAATCAGAGGCTTGATATCTGTTAAACCCATCCATCAAGAAACAATTCAACCAAAATTGAAAATACCTTTTGGTTGTACCACAAACCTTGAGTATATGTCAAAAGGTTCAGACATGGTCTTTATCAAAGAAGCAAACTATCTTGAGTCCAGAAAGGCATTTTATGTCAAATAACTATGTCAGATTGACAGGCATCCAGTATATGGCTTATAGACCCAACAACAAAGGCATCATTTGAGTAACCAAGACCACTATACCAGCAATTCTTGTATATCCCCATGCAATGCCATATTGCTGAGTAGGTGATTGTGTGGGTGTATGCATATGAAAGGGAGGAAGGGAGAGAGAGAGAGAGAGATACAGGAGCATTCAAACTTACTCTGCATCCTCGTAATCAAATGAGGCATAGCCTGACGTTATACTCTTCAATTCATTGTAAAAGTCAACAACAATTTCCCTCAATGGTAGGCGATACTTCATAAAGGCTCGTTGACTGCATGTCAATATTTAAAGAATAAATATTCCCAATATCACTCATTTTATGAAAGGTTAAATCAACAAAAAGTGTTGGCCAGTAACTCCCAGCTTGAAACAAAATATCACAAGACAAGGAGTAGCCAGGACCATTATTCACCTAACATCAGGTTTACTTGGTTCTCTGAAACATTGGACAAAGTATCTAAAAATCTAAAGAGCAAATTTACGAACACTTGAAATTTGCATCATGTTTTGTTTAAAAATTTGGAACCAGATACATGACCATCATATGGTTGCATCACCCTGCTCATTATTTCAATCATAAACATAAATTGAACTACATAAGGATAGTCAGCGAGCAAGGAAAATTTACACATTTTCTTGGCATAAAAAATTACCTATCCATAAATGAGTACTCCAACTGCTCGCCTCTTCGCTCAGAGCAGAGGGTAATAACAGATCCCACATACCTTCAAGTAGAAAGAAGATGAAAAAATTATTTGCATACAGCAAAAAGATAATAGGGTAGTAAAATGTTAAAGGAGGACGAGAGCTTACTCACTAGGAATAATAATTGTAGCTAATACTGTTGGTTCCCAGCATGTAGTCACCCGTTTTTTGGGATTTGAGGGCAATGAAGCAGGATTTTGAACTTCTACTTTACTAAACAAGGCATCAACAAATTGGTAAGGTATGCAGAAACCCAATCTTAAGAGACAATAGCACAAAACATATGCCACATACCTTCCATCTGAATACTCAAACATATATGGTACAGTTGGAACAGTAGAAATTATATGAGCTCCATATTCCTACCAGCCAGAAGATAACCATGGTTAACAGTAAGCAGAACTAATCTGAAAATTGTAGGTTTATAGGTTGCTAATGGTGAATCAAGATCAAGTCTGCTATCTTCCACAAACCATTCAAAGAGAAAAATCTATTATCTTCCACATTCACTTGCATAAACAGCTTTTATATGTGTATATATAATCTGAATAATTCACATGTAACTTGAATCACAATCATCAACCGCTACAAACATGATTGAACAAGTTAAGCATATGAATAATTTCATTTTGCTCACATACCACTCACCACTAGAAATGGTGATACTTTCTACTTTTCTTTTCACAAATATGAAATATGGAGTAAAATTATTTGGAAACATATAGGACCATTTAATAATCAACTCAAACCAACTCAACTCAATGAAACCTTATCCGAACTATTTAGCATTGTCTATATGAATTCTATTTGGCCAATTCGACTTTTACGTGCGCAATTTCATTTAAACCACATGCTATGATGTGTTTCCTTACTAACACAACTTCTATTAATTTTAGCCTACTCCAATCCATGATATTACATTGAACCGTGTTACTCTTCCTCACTTGTGCAGTTAATGGTCATCAATATAGATAGCAAAATTATTTTAGTCAATTTTCTCATTTCATCTCCAATTAATATTCTTCCACAATCAAAATACCTGTTCAAGCCGCTGATGGAAAACATCCATGTGAAGTAAGCCTAAGAAACCACACCTGGAGGAAGGACTCAGTAAGCATAATAAGATTTTTTTGCATGAAATCAACAAATATCACAGAGCTAATCTCCTCACATAAATCAATCCACACCTGAAGCCCATGCCAAGTGCTGTGCTACTCTCTTTAGTGACTGAGACACTGGCATCATTGCATGTTAGTCTCTCTATTGCATGATTAAGCGCATCAAAATCTGATCCATCAGCTGGATAAAGACCAGAAAACACCATATGTTTTGCAGGCTTGAAACCTGAAAAGTTCAAAAATATGAAAGGCGCACACACATACAGTGATACATACAGACAAAGGTAGGTATTAGGACCATGAAATACTAGATTTACAGTTTTTTCTAGGCAACATCAAAATTAATTCTTGGTAGAAAGTAGAAACTCTTATTGAACATAAATTGGGATAATCCAATTCAATGCACAAATCTATCTTCATTCTTCACTTCAAAATACAATTAGTTACAACGGTCTAAAGAAAAAGACGCATTAAAAAGAAAGAAACATAGACACCTACATGTATGTGGGTTCACTTTGAATATGAATTTATATATTTAATTATCCATATTTCCTTATTAGTTTATACACGAGCTCCTTGGCTTCAACATTGCAAACCATATAGCACGGTTCAATTTGCACATGAATAAATGTCTTAAAATCAATCAGCAAATGACACAATAACCATAATACTCAAGAGATGACCACGGAATTGCCTAGTATTCTGAGAATGTAGAGATGCGAAAATAATTAATCAAATATGGATTGAAGTTTGATTAAAGTACCTGGAAGGGGCTCTACAACGCTTCGGCTATGATATAGAGTATCTCCAACACGTGCCTCTTTGGTTGAACGCATGCCACTCACGATATATCCCACTTGTCCGGTTAAAAGGACTCCAGTCGGAGTGAGTTCAGGATGCATGATCCCAACATCCAGAACTTCATAAGCTTGACCAGTTGCTGCGGATGAAATCTTATCTCCCTTGCGTAAAGCACCATCAACAACTGCCACGTGGCAGATTACTCCCTTGTATTCATCATAATAAGAATCAAGCAAAAACATGCGCAATGGTGAATTACAATTTCCAGGAGGGGGAGGTATTCGCTCTATGACAGCAGGAAGGACCTGCTCAAGACCTTGACCTGTTTTCGCAGATGTTAAGAGTGCTTCACTTGGGTCAAGGTCAAACATGGATTTTAGCTGAGCTTTAACACGATCTGGATCAGCGGTTGGCTGGTCAATTTTGTTTATGACAGGGATTATGGTTATGTTGGATTCAAAAGCAAGATAAAAATTAGCAACAGTTTGCGCCTGAACGCCTTGGGCGGCATCAACCACCAAAAGAGCACCTTGACAAGCTGCTAGGGATCTTGATACTTCATAGCTAAAATCCACATGACCAGGAGTGTCGATTAAGTTTAGCAAAACACTTTCTGGTTCTTGCGCATCAGTAATGTCAGGACCATGAAACTTGTGTTTGTGGAACATAGTTGCTGTCTGAGCTTTAACAGTTATTCCCCTTTCTCTCTCAACCTAAGAATTTTCAAAATTATATTTTATAAAATAAGGCATAAGTGAAGGGTTAAAAATAAGACTCAAGGGTTAAAATAAGACTCCAAGTATAGCCTTTAGAGCCCATTACCTCAAGTGAAATTAGTTGCTAAATGCTACATAGATTCTAATTTGCCATGATGGTGAGCTAAGAATGGAAAGACGAGGTTGTACATTCAATGTCAACTCTATATTAAACTAATGACTCTCATTATTAAGAACATAGATAATGATGTTTCGGTGTTTCCCAACTTCAGTGATCCACGAAAAGATATTTGAAACAGTTGGTCTAATTAAAAATGGCTCCCAGCTTATTTTTCTTTGCAAATAGCAGGGAGGATTGAAAATTCTCTTTACTCAACCCTTTTTGGCTAAATTTTGTGTGTCAATTTAGGTGTAGGATAGCCACTCCTTATTACTCCCTCACTATCCTCAGAAATATGCAGCAGATATAGTTTACTGACTATCGGAAGTCAAGTCATTGAACATCTACGTTTGAGTGACAGAATCACAATCGAATTCCTGGACCATCTTCGTGCAATATTGGTGCCGTCTTTAGTTAACACGTGTGTATATGGATCTAATGTGATAATCCGTGCAGTGTGATGAGATGACATTACTTTCAAAACGTTCCCATGCTCATTACTGAAATGAATATAGACCATCATTAGAATGTAAAAACATCACATTGTAACGTTCACAAAAAGTACAAGGTGCTATAATAAAAATGCATATAAACACAACCAAGATACACTTTTGCTTCAAATGTCAATAGCTGTTCACATGTACGCGTGTGATTGAAATGCCAACGGATCAAAACTATCAAAATAGCAGGTTTCAACATTGTTGAATTAATAATAGTAGCAAAATTGCATTTTGACCTGACATAATATTGAAGAATGAGTGAGTAAACCTAAAAATCAAAAGTACACCTCAAATGCAGTTTATAGATTCGCTTCAATAAATTCAACTCGATATAGTATCCACAAAATGAATATATATATATATATATAATATATATATATATATATATAGGAACTCACAAGCTAACGTCCAATAGTTACCGCAAAAAAGGCACCTAAGGGCTGGGGCTCTAGTCTCTAGTCATTATTATGTCCCATTTTCTTGTTAATGGGTTTTATTTTTCTCATTTCTCTGTTTTATTTTATTTTTTTTCAATAGTTGACTGGAAAATTAATTACTTCCTGATTAAAGAATGCGAAGATTCTTGAAGTCCCCTGAAATATTAAAGCACTCAGTACTAATCGTGCTAATCAACATCTGTTCCAAAATTAAATTGTAAATGAACTCAGCAAAGGTAATATTCGAAACTACTACAGAACTTACCACAGCAAGAAGAACAACAACAATAATAGAACTTCATACCTGTAATTTATCTAGGTACTGGGGCTGACCATGGCCTCTCCTGATAGTCCTAGTGAGCTCTAGGAGACGATCAGCGAGCGTAGACTTGCCGTGATCGACATGGGCAATGATCGAAAAGTTTCGAATCCTTTCGGTTGGGTACTGGCTTAAGTCTATTGCATTGTCTCTACTGTTTTGGCGAGGATGAGAACAAAATGTACGGTGACTCGAAACGAATTGGGACCAACTTAGTCTACTCTCAATTGGGTTAGCTCTAAATAACGCAGAAAATGGACTAAATTTAGAGGAGGCACACAGTAAAGACATACACTTTGATGATTCGAGAGACTTTCGAGTCCGATTGAAAAAACCCATTTGGGGGTTTATAAGCAAAACCTAACCAGACGGAGATATTGGGGACTTGTTACGCGGCATTGATACATTGTTGAAGTTTTGGAAGGAAAGGGTTCAAGGGACAGAAGCGTTGTTGTGTAGGGCTTTGTTCTTGAGGTTACAGAGGCCCCGAGCGACTGCGGAGATGTACCGTGTATTACTGATTATGTAGGGCTTGTTTAATTTATCGTTCAATGTTTGATTTTAAAAAATAAATAATTTTTTTTTTTCGGAAATTAAAATAAATAAATAAAATAAAATTGTTATCAGAAGTTATATAGGGAGTACTACTCTCGTTTTTTTATTTTTTTCGTCATTCTCTGAAGTTAACCTAAAATGTACACGGTGTAGTTCAGTTAACCCCTAAAATGGACAAGCTTTAGTTAAGTTTGAGGACAAATTGCATAAAATTTCTCTCCCTTCCAAAATTTGGCACAAAATCTCTCTAATTTTTTTTTTTTTTTTTTTTATATCACCCCTCTAATCAAATTAAAAATTAAATTAAATGTAATGTGAAAAAAAATTAATTTTTGATATATATAATAGCGCAAAATATTGAGTGAAGTGCAGAAAACACTCCTGAAGTATACTTACAGTGCATATCACACCCCTCACGTATAAAAAACACCTTTCAAGTTTCAATTTAGTGCAATTAGGTCCCCTTGACACATTTAAAATCTAAATTGACCAAATTACCCTTATTGCATAACTTTATAAAATATATAAAAATAATTTTTTTTGTAAAAAGACCAAAAAATACAATGCTTTTCCCTTCTCATCTCTTCGGCAGGGATACGGATCATCTCCATAATTATCTCTCTCCTGCTTTCTCCAAATCTAAAATTTTGGTGTTTTCTCCAAATCTAAATCAAATGATCAATATTAAGATAGATCTTCACTTACCTAAACAACACCATTTTTGGAACCAAACGGACCAAACAAACCATTTGTACTTCTTTTCTCTCTCCCATCCTCTTACTTTCTCTCTTTACACACTAAAACTTTTATTGCTGATAAACCACACCAGGAGGCAAATTCTTGAGCAAAGAGGTTCAAATGGAGTTCTGTGGCGTAGAATTAATCAACCCAAAATTTAGACCTTTACAATTTGGTGGAGTTGATGTGAACCAATTATTCTGTTGTCATTGTCATTTGAAGAAATTTCTGAACAACTGTTTTGAGGCTGAACGAGGAAATCCACCGAAGAAGAGACTAGTCTTGGCCTGATTCAGACAACAAACTCTCTCAATCTTCCAATCCAGACACCTCCAACCCATAAGGAATTGGTAGGAGATCCACCCCCAATTCGTCCTTCAGACCACCAGCTGAGAAGCACTTCGTCACACATCCCGGACCAGTTTCCGACGACATCGAAACCGGCGATATTTGCTAGGCGAAGAGGATGTTGTCGGCTTCGGCAGACCGCCGCCTCCTCTTCTAGCTCCCCACAAACAAAAAAAAGAAATAATACCAATTACAAAGTAATTGTACTCCGCGCGAGGTGAAGAGGATGTTGTCAGCTTTAAGAATATCCTGCCGGAAATCCACCACCGCCGGCGGGAACCTTCCATCCTTCTAGAGATCGTTGTTGAGCATCGGCAACGGCGCTATGTCCATGTATTCGATCTGTAAACCGTTGATGGATTTTCTGGATAGCTTAATCGCTACAATCAACAACATTAAAGGATGATCAAAATCCAAATTCAACTCATATGAAACCATAAGAGACAAAAAGTTCACACACACACATACTCATATATATATACATATATATATATATATATATATACACACCCACACAAGAGCATAGATAGGTAGAGACTAGAGAGAGAGGTACCATAGTGGAGGAGGCCTCGATTTAAGGAAGCTTTGCGAAGCGATCCGCAGAGAGCTACGACTTTGATGATTGGTTTGGCCGCTGCTGCTTCCATTTCTCTTTCTCTATCTAAAATCTTTTCTCTTTCTCTTTCTAGAATCTTTTCTGCGGCAGCCTTTCAATCACCAGATAGTTCTCCGCTTCAATATATATTCTCCCACTCATATTATTCTTACAAATCACTGGTTCATTTATGATTTATATGCAGTTATGTCAACCTTCTCGTTCTAGAATTTAAGGTATAGTGGTTATACATTTTTTTTTTTTTTTTGGGTAATTGAGTTTAGTGCTTCTACTGGTTTGCCAAATCTCACACAGGGTCTTTATGGTTGGGTGAAGATGCTAATTGGTTGTGGCAGACTTCATGATTGCATTGAAGAGGATGATTGCATTGAAGAAGATGATTGTATGGGCATTTTGGGAAGAATAAAAGGGCAAAATAGGTATTACAGTAATAATTTATGTCTGATTTTTGACGGAGGGGTAATTTTGCACAATTTCAAAAGATTAGGGGTGTTTGCACACTTTTTCAAATAGGGAGTAAAAATGCTATGAAAAGTATACTTCATGGTATTTTCTGCCCTTCCCCCTATTTTTATTTATAATCTTGGCACACGGCCCTGGGTTGACATTTGTCTTCTAACGAGAAATATACACATTTTTTTTTTTGTTTAGTGACAAATACATTGAATTATTATGTTAATAATTACCAATTTACTAGGTAATTTAATACGTTAATAGTATTTGTGAAGCTAGTTTTATTTATTTTTGTCAAATAAACTCAATAGGTCTGTGATTCGTAATTAAATAAACAATGTTTAAATGGCGCAGCTCTAAAATTCTAAATAAAGGTTTCAAAAAATTAGTGCATTTATTAGAAGGTATGCTATTTCCAAAATCGAAATAAGATATGACAAGATTCTTGTCTCATATATTGTCGTTGGAGATTATCTGGATGATTGCCGGTGAATTTTAGAAGGGGAGGAATGAATGGGGTCGGTGAAAAAAAAATAATTGGCATCCATGTGTGACCTGGCTCATGCTACACGGTATATACATATACAATTATACTTACAAATAATGTGAATAAAATATATAAGCGGCATCGCCAGCTTGTATATGACGCGAGCTCACAAACTGTACTTTGTTTAGAGAGAGATTATTTGAATAGAGAGAGAAATCACTGACGGACGGCTAATCATCAGCGACCAATCCATTTCCGTCAGACTCAGAGTCACACAGATTCTTGCCGCTTCTGCTTATAAGTAATCTCTTTCTGACTCTCTATATATGTGTATGTGTGTGTATATATTAGGTATATTTTGAGTTTGATGAACACGGTTACTGTCAAAGATCTAGTTATCTGATAAGGTTAAACTAGTATCATAACACATGAAATTGATACTTCGTCTTTGATCTGGTAGATCTCTCTTGATTGGGGCAAGAAGGAAGAAATACTGAATTTGATTTGTTGTGTTTTGGTATTATTAGGCGGTGAGGATGTCAACCTCTGCCAGGAAAAGATTGATGAGGGATTTCAAGAGGTTACAGCAGGACCCTCCTGCTGGAATTAGCGGCTCTCCTTGTGACAACAATATCATGCTTTGGAATGCTGTCATATTTGGGTATTCATTGATTCATCTTTTTAAAAAGAAAAATTAAATAGGGTTTTATTTAATTTTCACTGATTCGGTTTTTGGGTTGGTTTGCAGTCCTGAGGACACTCCTTGGGAGGGAGGTGAGTCAATTATTCCATTCGTGTTGTTATTTTAAAAGGATGCGTATACATGTTTTTTATATACTCAATCCCTGCATGTTGTTTAGTGACAAGATATCAGCTTTAAGATCATTAGCCTTCTCTTATTCCTGGTGTGTTTAGTATGTGCTGCAATTGGCTTTGTTTGAAGCATTTTTATTTAGTTAGGCAATGGTGTTGGAATTTCAATTCAATCATATATATCATTGCATTGCTCTTTCTCCCGCATAGGGCGCAAACTGGTTTAATCCTGCATCTCCAATCATTGCAGTCCTCAGTAGGTGGGGATGCATTTTGCATCTATAACAAGATGTGTTTCATAATTTTTGAAGCATCTTGGTGGCACTTGCTATGATGATGTTTGCACTGTTCTTGTACCATTAACTTTATGTTTTATTATTATCCAATGGTTGCTAAAAGGAACATTTTTGTGAAATTACAAGTAATTACACATGACATTGAACATCAATAGTAACACTTGGTACTTGGACTATTTGCAACATGTATTGCACTTTAACTAGGGGTTTTAATGCAAAAAGTTATTAATACGGTATAACGATATTACCACATAGAATTGTTTCACTCCCCCACCCCCCTCCTTTTTTTTAGTTGTTCTTTTGGCATTTATTTTCACTGTTCCATATTTATATGGCTTTTATCTCTCGCAATATATGATAGAATTTCTTAATATTACCTTGTGCTTCCAGGTACATTTAAATTGACACTTCAGGTCACCGAGGATTATCCGAATAAACCACCAACAGTGCGATTTGTTTCCCGAATGTTCCATCCAAACAGTGAGTTGGAAACAGAACTACACCATCCTACATTTGTTTGGTTCTCTAGTTATTTAAAGATTCTTGTTTAGGATCAGTAATTGTTATTCTGGCCTATGTTGATAGATAGAAAAGAAAAAAAAAAAAAAAAAAAAAGAAGAAGAAAAAAAAAAAAAAAAACTCTGGCGGCTCTGGCCTATGTTTTATAGTTTTTATAATGCATTTAAGACATGTCTCGAGGTTTATGTTAGGGCAAGGGTTAAGGAAACTGCCTTGAGGTTCAGCCTCAATATCCAACCTCTGAACTGTGTGATGCAAAGGCAGTACGTGTCATGTGTCATGTGTTCCGACTCTCATTATGCTAGAGGCTAGAACATACAGAAACATAAAATACAGCTTTCCCCTGGCAAGAAAGCTTAAAAAATTGCCATTTTACTTTATTTTTTACAATAATTTTGTATTTATTATCAGAATATCATTTATTTTCGTACAGCTTAGTAGTGTGCAAGAACTACATTAGAGATCTTGAGTACATGACAAGGAAATTGAGCATTATTTATTGAATTATTGCAATTATTAATGGAACTGAAATGAAAAATATACCAAATAGCATCCCCTTTCCCCTTCTTAAATTGATGACTGTTTCACACTTCTGGAGTTCATAGTACCTTGCCTCAGGTCTTTCACATTTTAAAAATTAGAAAACTCTACCATTGTGTCATGGGAGAAAAGAAAATTGATTTACTTTTTGGACTTATATATGGGGGCAGACCAATTGGTCAAGTAGGGTAAACAATGGTGTAATATGGTAGATGGTATTTGTCAGTTCCAGATACATAGACATGGTATCTGTAGTATGATGATATGGGTTTGAAATATTGATCGATTTGTAATTTGCATCTACATTTATTTACATGTAAACGTGCATGTATATTACCTTCTTTTTTCGCTAAATTGGTATAATTCAGTTGCAGCTATAATTTAATTATTATTTTTGCCTGATACAATCTTGAGATCTCTTAAAATAGTATCTGCATATGTCTAGTAAAGCTACCAATACATCCTACATAAATCTGTGTATAGTAATGTTTGTGATGCAAACATGCGTGTTCATATTGATGCACTTCGACCAAAATGAAATTGGAATAAGGGAACTAGGGGAAAGTCTTCTAATTGCATATCAACGACTTTGAATTGGAGTGTTTGGATAGTTTATTAAATTACAGTTCCATTGATCTATTGAGAAACAGAATTGCAATATTTCAGTAACATCTTTGTTGGTGGCAGATTTTTTTCTTCTACTTTAGTTCTTATGAAAAAAAAGAAAAAGAAAAAGAAAAAGAAAAAGAAAAAAAAATGATTTTATCTGGATATTTCTGGGCTTTTTATTTTCCTATGCAGTTCTAGGTCTGGATTATCTTATGTAAATTTTATCAATAACTTGAAATGGACAATGAGGACATTTCTATGTTTGTCTTGTGTTCGTGTGCACGTTGGTATTTATGTCTCTTTCCAATTTACAAGCATTTCGTTGAAAAGGAATTCTGGAAATACTGAAACCATGTCAAAAGAAGAAGCTTATGAACAAACAGACATTGCAAGTTAGTGGCCATGGTTGGAAAGAACAATAATTATTTTTTTAAAAAAAAAATCCCGGAACTTCAAGCAACACACACACACATTGCCCCACTCAGAGCTCGAACTCTCAACCTTCCTATTGGGGAGGAGAGATTATACCATATGGGCCAATGCCCTGGTGGTAAGGAACAATAAAATCAAAATGTTATAATCCTTACCACTTCTAGAAAACTTACTTGAGCTTTCTTCATTTATCTTTCTTCCTAGAACAGTTTAATAGTGATTTGACTTGGTCTTACAAAAAAAAAAAAAAAAAAAAAAACCTATGCTAGGGTGCATGATGGCATTTATACATATTGATGATTTCTTCATGGATCTACTTTGTTTTGTGTTATCTTTATTTTGACAAGAGATAATTGTGCCTTCTGTCCTTTTAAGTTTTAAGCTTCTTAATGACACCAAAACCAAGACCCTTTAGTAGCTTTGATTCTCAATCTTTGTTGGTAAGTTTTCACTTGACCATGCATGCTCGTGTTCTTTCCGAAACCCTTAGTTGACTATGTTTGCTACTTGTTCACTTAGTACGAGTAACCTTGGCCTCATGGTTTGATGTTGAAGTTTGATGTGACATCTTGTGGCTTGTTTTCTTTGTGCTTTGGGCCTTTCTCCCTTCTTGCTTCATGTCTTGGATTTCTTCACTTCCTTAAACTAATGTAGCTCAGGCTGCTATCTATCCCTCAACTGGTCCTCAGCCTCAGGTGACCTTGATGGCCTTAAGGTGGAGTTCACCCTGGTTCCCCTGCCATCTGTGAAATCACATTGTCTTATCAGCATATCATTAATTCTATTTAGAATTGCAATCAGTGTTTTACATTTTCTAGTAATTGTTTAGGATTTGCTTAAACTAGATCTGGACAGAATGCATGATTTGTTATTTTTGCGTGCAGACCGAGTGGTGAGTAAAATATTTTAGCTACATCACACACACACATTATTTTAAGAAAATTTGGTAATTGTTTGGAGTATTTTGTTATGCTCTTCCAATATTTACTCTTTTTTTTCCTTTTCTTTTTCTGAGCCTTCTTGTTTTAGAATATTACAATTATTAGTTTAAATAATTTTTTCTTCTAGTTTGCATGCATCCGTTATACTGATAGAAGCATTCATATTTTCTTTTCTTATTTTATGGGCGCTTGGGGTTGTGGGATGCACTGTGTTTCTCCTTTCTCCTTTGTGTTGGTCCTCTATTTCCAGTTTCCTCTCTTATTTGGTGAAATATATAATATAGTGAGAATTTGCTTTAAAAAGCTCCTTAAATTTGTTTTGTATTTGACCAGTTTATGCAGATGGAAGTATTTGTTTAGATATTCTGCAAAATCAGTGGAGTCCAATATATGACGTGGCTGCTATACTTACATCCATCCAGGTATGATAGGGATGATTGAGATGATTTTGTGAATATTTTGCTAGATAATTTTTTTTTTTTTTTCCTTTCATAATTCTAGATAATGTATTTTACAACATCCCTTAATTTTATTGTAAAGAGTTTCTCAGTGTATTTCATATATATATGTGTGTGTGTATTTATTTAAATTAGTATCAAAACATTTACTAAAAAGTGAAAGAGGATCTCTTCTACCTGATTCTTGCTGAAAACATGATATAATCGAAAAGGGTTTTTTAGGCTAAATTCTATAAAACTGTTACAAGTGTCAAGGAGGGGGTATATCTTTTATTTGCAAACATGAGCATTGGGTATCATGTGATATACCAATGCATGAGAGCAATGCAGACGTATTTCTGTATCAGCTTAGTTCTAATCTTGTCCAAAGAGTGAGAAGCACATGTTGTTTCCATGTTCTTACTCATCTAAGTTGAGGGTAGTGTTACCTTGAAGCTTACCGGGGGATTTCGTCATGGTTGGGATACAATTACTAGAAAGCCTCTTTTGAGAATTGAGCCTTAAAATGTTATTCTTCTCAAGGGCTTTAAATTATTACCTAGTTAATTGTGGGCTTGAGCTTGGCTTGCGTGCCTTGCATTGTAAATCAGGTTTATCTTCTAGTTTTTACTTTGTGAGAAAAGTTTGGTCATGTCATCTGGGCTAGAGGAACAAAAAAATTATTGAAGACAAACATAACCATATTAAAATCAAAATGACTCGAGTCAGAGTGCAAAAAGTGAACCTTTTCCTCTGAAAGTTGGTCACCACAGAATTTTAGAAAATTTGGTTTCTAACACTCAGAGATTGGGTCGCTTCTTCTTTTCTATTAAGTCTCCCACTTAGATGGTCTTGATTCTGTCAGAAAGGGCAACTGATATTGAACCGGTATACTCCTGGGAATCTGAGCCAATTTGGTACTTTTGGTCTATGTAAACATTACCGTAGACACCAATTCTTGCAAGCCTGTTTGGTTTGGAGTTTATTTGTACTTCAACCCCTTTGGACAGGGTAAGAGGTCTGGTATCTTACTTGGCAAAGAAACATTATGAAACACGACCGACATAGGACACGAGTACGATACCACATGGATACGTCGATACGTCAAATCTAAAAAAAAATAGGACACGGACACGGACACGGACACGGCAGGGATACGGTAATAAAATAATAATTTTATTATATATAAAGAAAATAATTTTTTTCAAATTTTTTTATTCATAATTAATGAAATTTAAGCTCATTATATATTCTATTTTCTATTTTATATATATATATATATATATATATATATATATATATATATATAAGGATTTATACCCAAATTTATTAAATTACAAACAAATAAAGATATAACTTTATATCCAAACAGAACAAGTTAAACCTTCTGACCAAACAAGTTTTAAGAAAAAGATGAGATTTATCTTCTCTCTCCTCATCATCTACGTGTGTCTATCTCCCTGGACCGTTCTTATCATCTAGCCCTCCTTCCTCCCACCAAACACATAGCAAAGCACGAATCTCTACCCACAGTAGACAACACCATCGTCGGAGGCGGAGAACAAGTTGCGAGGGAAGGACAGGGAGGACGGGTTGAAGAAGGAGAGGGTGGATGAGTGGTGTGAGGTTGCCCATTTCGGATGAGGTTGAGAAATCTTAAATCTTGATGGTGTCGTTGGCCCCATCGGATACAGCGAAGTAGTCGGAGACGTTAACCAACTCATGGGGAAGAGGTGGGAGGGGAAGGAGAAGAGTAGGGTTAGGGCTTGGGATTGTTTGAGTTCCCGTGTCCTCAGGTGTATCTCTGCTGTGTCCTCTGGTGTCCGTTATTTATTTTTTTATAAAAAGAAACAGGACACGTTTGCCAGGTGTCGGACACGTGTCTAAGCTCCGGACACGCATGTCCGTGTCAGACACGTGTCCGACACCGGTTCGCAGATCCTAAATGACGTGTCGGTGCTTCCCAGTTGTGGATCATTTTCTTGCCTGCTATAGACAGTTAAAATTGGGGACATTGGCCAAAAAAATCTGCTAATATTACCAGGGCCTTGGAATTAAAAGAGGGACTAATTGAGAGGGATTAGATTTATTTTTATACTTTGATGTATTACTTTAATGTATCTAGTTATGACAAACTCGGAGGCTAACTTTTAGGCGAACAGGGATGCAATCCTGCGACCAATTTAAGCTGTGGATATCATCTTCTAGGGGTCATCACTTAATGCAGTGGTAAAAAGTCCAGGCTGTCAAGTGTAAAAGTATGGTTAAAATATGAGGTATCCACTTCACGAAATAATGTTTTTGTATGCATACTTATCCGGCACCGCCTTAATTGGGACCACATTAGGTAATAACCTTTTCGTGGATATCGCCTTTTCCTTCAGTTCTTGTTATATTGTTTCTTTATTCCTGGTTTTTGCTCTGTCACATTGAGAATATCATAAAATATGCAGAATATCTAAAAGACAAGTAATTTAAGAGCAGTAACATAAAGTTGACATCTTGACGAATCTTACATCCACCTAATTTAGGGACAACATATCTATTCCTTTCCCTTTTACTATTTATCATATGGTAAATCTGAATCCACGTTATCTGGTCCATTCACTCATTTATATTCATCGTGTGGAATGGCGCCATTTTCTTATTTTAGTGTGTGTATTTAGAGAGAGTTGGCAATCTTCAAACTGCAAGTTTGGAGAGCATTTAACCACAGAATATTTGATCTGAGAAAATCGGACGTGACAAATTCAATGGCTGATCTATCAAGATCTTAATTTATCAACCTTGCAAACATTCAATTGGTAGATAAACAAGTAACGGATAATCCTGATTAGTGCATGTGCCAGTCAATGAGTAGCATCCTACAGATGCTTTACTAGTCTGTACACGATGTTTGATGCATCCACTTCTCATTGCAGTCACTGCTCTGTGACCCGAACCCAAACTCACCTGCCAATTCAGAAGCTGCACGGTTGTTTAGTGAGAGCAAGCGTGAGTACAATAGGAGAGTGCGGGAGATTGTGGAGCAGAGCTGGACAGCTGACTAAAGCGATCATGGTTGAGGTGCTGTAGGAGGTTGGCATTTGTGAGATGCGGGATCACATCGTCGCTCTTCCTCCTTGGAAGGTGGTCTAAATTTCTCTGGAAGGACTTCTTTTTAGAATCATTGCTACATTAATAACAGATGTACTAGAAAATTTATTACTCATATTATATGTTCACATATAGGGACTTCAAGCTTTTCTATCTTGTGATCTTTTTGTATTGCTTGCTTCTTGGAGTTTCTTGTACATAATTATTTATTGTATCAAATTGTCCAGAAGACACTATGACATTTCTTTCCTTCAATCATCTTTGTGGTTAATCCGCTTTTAGGAATAGAATTTTATGTTTGTGATTGATTGTCTTTGAATGTGAATCCATGCCGTAATTGCTGATGGAACAGTTTTATTAGCTTTCATCAGAGACTTTGATTGATGATGGAGAATTAAGTTCTGAGAAGTTGGACGAATTCTTAGGATTTGCAGGGTTTTGCACGATAATCCTCTTAGTAGGACCCTTTTTGGTTGTCTTGCACACCAAGCATCTGGGACAGTGGGGGACAGAACATTGCTGCTGCTGTGGCCACCTAAGTTCCACTGTGTGGTTGAGGTAGATTTATTGTTGTTCATGGCATCAATATATTTCATAAAGAAAACATGTTCTCATGAATATAAATATAACAACAAAGTTGTCCAATGCAAAGATTTATTCTTTACACATTGAAATGGGCTAGTGACATAATAGGTACCTTAATTGAGGTATTTTCATTCGAAGATTCATTCTTTACTCATTAAAACACTCTCCGTGACTTTATAGGGATCTCGAATAAGTTAAACTTAAAACTCTCAATTTTTCAGAGATTGAATCTTCATACATTTGAAAGGTCCAGTGACACAATAGGTGCCTTGATTGAGGTCATTTCATTCAAAGATTGAAACACTCTTTGCGACTTCGCAGGGAACCTGAATATTTTAAACTCAAAACTCTCAGTTTCTTACAAAGATTCTATCTTTAGCAGTAAAACCACTCTTCGCGACTTCAAAGGGACCTCGGATATGTTAAACTCAAAAACTCTAACACTCTTTCAAAGATTCAGTATTTCAATCACGGAGAGTGTTTTAATGAGTAAAGAATGAATCTTTGACTGAAAATACCTCAATCAAGGTACCTATTATGTCACTAGACCATTTTAATTCGCAAAGTTTAAATCTTCGATTGAAAATGCAAGTTTTGAGTTAAACTTATTCGAGTTCCCTTTGTCGTCACGAAGAGTGTTTTAATCAGTAAAGATTGATTCCTTGAAAAAGATTACCTCAATCACGGTACCTATTATGTCACTAGACCATTTTAATGTATCAAGATTGGATCTTCGAAGATCTTTTTAATGAGAGTTTTGAATTAAGCTTATTAGAGTTCCTTTGACGTCCCGAAGAGTCTTGTAATGATGAATGATTATATCTTTGAATGAAAATACATCAATTAAGGTACCTATTATGTCAGTAGACCATTTTAAAGATAAAGTCTTTGAAAGAAAATGTGACTTTTGAGTTAAACTTATTCGAGTTCCCTTTGACATCACGAAGAGTGTTTTAATGAGTAAATACTGAATCTTTGAATGAAATTACATCATTCAACGGACCTATTATGTCAGTAGACCTTTTTAATGTATAAAGATTGAATCTTTGAAAGAAAATGAGAGCTTTGAGTTTAACTTATTCGAGTTCCCGATAAGCTTGAGACCTTTTTAATGTATAAAGATTGAATCTTTGAAAGAAAATGAGAGCTTTGAGTTTAACTTATTCGAGTTCCCGTTAAGGTTGAGAAGAGTGTTTTTTAGTGAGTAAAGATTGTATCTTTGAAAGAAACTACCTCAATAAGGGCACCTATTTTGTTACTAGACCATTTTAATGTCCAAAGATTTCTCCGTTGTGTTGTGCGCTGTTGGGGTTGGCTGGTCCGTGAGGATCACCATTTTTTTTTTGAGTCCTTAGTGAGGATTTGATAGATTTTAGTTGGCTTACTTCCATGTAGGGGGTGAAGTCTTTGACCTTGTTGTCTTTCATTTCAGAGACAGAGTCGAGGTGTTGTCCTTTTTAGGACTGGTGGTTCCTTGTAATGATGAAAGATTATATCTTTGAATGAAAATACCTCAATTAAGGTACCTATTATGTCAGTAGACCATTTTAATGTATAAAGATTAAGTCTTTGAAAGAAAATGTGAGTTTTGAGTTAAACTTATTCGAGTTCCCTTTGTCGTCACGAAGAGTGTTTTAATGAGTAAAGATTGATTCCTTGAATGAAATTACCCCAATCACGGTACCTATTATGTCACTAGACCAGAATTTAATTAAATAAAAATAATTAAATTCCCTAAATTTTGATTCAATTCCAAATAACCTCAAATTAATACATGTTAAGGAACATGGCATGATCATCACCTATATCCATTCTAAAACTCAATTAGGTTATTGGAACAACAAAGTAGAACTCTAATTAAATCATGCTAATTTAATTATTAACTCAAAAACTCTTATTTTCTTTCAAAGAAATCCTTGGACATTAAAATGGTCTAGTAACAAAATAGGTGCCTTTATTGAGGTAGTTTCATTCAAAGATACAATCCTTACCCACTAAGAAACACTCTTCTCAACCTTATCGGGAACTCGAATAAGTTAAACTCAAAGCTCTCATTTTCTTTCAAAGATTCAATCTTTATACATTAAAAAGGTCTACTGACATAATAGGTCCATTGAATGAAAATACCTCAATCAAGGTTCCTATTATGTCACCAGACGATTTTAATGTATAAAGATTAAATCTTTGAAAGAAAATGAAAGTTTTCAGTTAAACTTATTCGAGTTCCCTTTGTCGTCACAATGAGTGTTTTAATAACTAGAAAGTGAATCTTTGAATGAAATTACCTTAATCAAGGTACGTATATGTCACTAGACTATTTTAATGTATAAAGATTGAAATACTGAATCGAGTTCCCATTGATGACACGAAGAGTGTTTTAATGTGTAAAGATAGAATCTTTAAATGAAATTATCCTAATGATGGTACCTATTATGTCTGTAGACCGTTTTAATCCTCAAGCATCAAATTCTCAATCTTACTCTAATCCAAATCAAGCGCCTCCTAAAAGTTCAGCTTTTGAGGACAAAGTCTTACAGGCTTTAGGTAATCTTCAAAAAGATAATCAACTGTTTCATTCTCACTCTCAATCAATTGCAAAGCTTGAAGCTCAAATTGGGCAATTAGCTAATTCTTTAAATGTGAGAGAGAAAGGTAAGTTGCCTAGTCAAACTGATTAAATCTTTGAAAAAAATGCGAGTTTTGAGTTAAACTTATTCGAGTTCCCTTTGTCGTCACGAAGAGTGTTTTAATGAGCAATGATTGAATCTTTGAATGAAATTTCCTCAATCAAAGTATCTATATGTCAGTTGACCATTTTATTGTATAAAGGTGGAAATATTGAATTACCTCAATCAAGGTACCTATTATGTCACTAGATCTTTTTCATGTATAAAGATTGAATCTTTGAAAGAATGAGAGTTGTGACTTAAACTTATTCGAGTTCCCCTTAACGACCTGAAGAGTGTTTTAGTGAGTAAAGATTGAATCTTTGAATGAGAATACCTCAATCAAGGTACCTACTATGTCACTAACATTCTTATTGAATTACCTCAATCAAGGTACTTATTATGTCACTAGATCTATTTCATGTATGAAGATTGAATCTTTGAAAGAATGAGAGTTGTGAGTTAAACTTATTCGAGTTCCCCTTAACGACCTGAAGAGTGTTTTAGTGAGTAAGGATTGCAATCTTCGTGGGGGGGTACATTTGTGGGCGGGTGATTGGCACTGCCATGCTACTGTACTGGCTAGCTACAAGTGCAGTTCGGATATAATCGCGTTGGTTTTTGCTCCGTTAGGCGTAGTCCTTTTGGTCAGTGATTGATGGTCGTTTTAGGGACGATTTGTTGAGATTGATTTGGTTGTTGATGGTATGGCAATAGTTGCTATTTTCTTTGAGTCTTCCTTGCATGATGACACTTTTGTGGTCGAGTCAATTGATCAAAACTCTCATTTTCTTTCAAAGATTCAATCTTTATACATTAAAAAGGTCTACTGACATAATAGGTCCATTGAACGATGTAATTTCATTCAAAGATTCAGTATTTACTCATTAAAACACTCTTCGTGATGTCAAAGGGACGTTCCGATTAGTGTTTTAATGAGTAAGGCTGAATCTTTGAATGAAAATACCTCAATCAAGGTTCCTATTATGTCACCAAAAACTTCACTTCCCGCTTCCAAAATTCACACTTCTTGTTTCTACAATGATTTGTGTTATTTAATACTTCCAAGTGATCATTTAATTCTATTCATATGTCTATGTATGCTAGAATGGATGTTTATGTCTATGTGTGTTGATATTATGAATAGGTACCTTGATTGAGGTATTTTCATTCAAAGATTCAATCTTTACTCATTAAAACACTTTTCAGGACGTCAAAGGGAACTCGAATAAGTTTAACTCACAACCCTCCTTTTCTTTCGAAGATCCAATCTTGATACTCATTAAAACACTCTTCGTGATGTCAAAGGGAACTCGAATAAGTTTAACTCAAAACTCACATTTTCTTTCAAAGACTTAATCTTTATACATTAAAATGGTCTACTGACATAATAGGTACCTTAATTGAGGTATTTTCATTCAAAGATATAATCTTTCATCATTACAAGACTCTTCGGGACGTCAAAGGAACTCTAATAAGCTTAATTCAAAACTCTCATTAAAAAGGAATCTTTGAATGAAATTACATCATTCAATGGACCTATTATGTCAGTAGACCTTTTTAATGTATAAAGATTGAATTTTCGAAAAAAAATAAGAGTTTTGAGTTTAACTTATTCGAGTTCCCGATAAGGTCGAGAAGAGTGGTTTTATTTTTTGAGCATGTGCTTTCATATTGCACTTCAGTGGTTGTGTTGACATAGAAATGTGTTGACGTAGAAAATAAGACACAGTAACATAAAGATCACCAGGAAATCCTGTATAAAATACAAAGATTATTGCATGGTTGTGTAAAAGAGACGCTTTTATGTCCAATTACATTACATACAATGTACAGTTGTTTCTGAAATTCTCCCCACTCAAGCCGAATATTCTGGATTCAGAATCGAATTTGGTCATTCAAACTCGTCTCAAAGCAAATTTGAAAGTGCTATAATATAAAGTCGAATTAAATTTTCAAAAATTAAAATTTTATTCCAATTTTTCCACAGCTTTATAAAAGATAGTTGATCCTTCATTACAATGTTCTAAAATTAACGTAGTCGTAGTTACAATGGCACAGAATCAACATATTCGTTAATCTTGGTCAGAGTTTACAGAAAAAATCCTAACATCTCGGACATATTTCAAGGTTTCTATGCCTTATTTGAAAACTTGAACAGCATAGAATGCTTGTAAGTCTTTCCAGGAAAAACAATCTGTGAAGGGAAATTGGGGTGGTTCACCGAGTCAGGGAAACCTTGAGTCTCCAAACACAGCCCAGCATGAGCTTGATAAATATATCCACCTTTCCCCTTCGAGTCCATTATATAATTACCAGTATAAAACTGCACACCAGGGGCATTTGTCGACAGCTCCATCTTTATTCCCGTCTTCCTCTCAAACACCATTGCTGCTGGCTTCATCTTTTCGCCCGTGCCACCATCGAGGGCATAGTTGATATCATAACCATTAGGAAGCCCGTAGAACTTGCTTTTGATGACTGCAGGCCGAAGGAAATCATATGGCGTGCCCTTCACCGGATCCAGTTTCCCAGTGGGGATGAGATCCTTGTCAACTGGTGTAATATGGGAACCAAATATCTGGATCTCATTCGACAAAATGTCACCACTAGTGTGACCACCAAGGTTCCAGTAAGCATGTTGAGCCAGATTCACTGGGGTTGCCTTGTTCAGAGCTTTGGCTTTCATTCTTACACTCAATTGGTTGTTGTCAACGATAGTAAAAGTCACGGTGGTAAGAAGATCACCCGGAAATCCTGCGTAACACAGAAGATGGTTGAGGATATAGAAAGCTCTATCTAATCAACTAATTGAGTCTATATAAGAAAAATAGTTATATCAAATGGTAGTAGTTTGGTACTAATTTCTTGAGCATAAGAGGAGCATAGTAGTTCATCAATCTGTCTATCTTCTTCTGTCGTAGCAGTGCAGTCATATTTATCTCATTCAAATTCTTATATTCCTAGACTTATACATATGACTATAAATATACTTGAAACATGTAGTTGGAAAAACCGCGAAAGCTCACCTTGTTCGCCATCAGAGCTGTGATAGGTGAAGATAATATGAGGATGTTTACCATCTTTTTTATGTTTTTTGACATTCCAAACAACATCACTGAATCCTATTAATCCTCCTAGTAGTCATAAAATAAAATTCATTAAAAATTTTAAAAATAAAAAAAATTCTCAAAATGGGAAAGACAACAACGTTACAGGGTAATTTATAATTGATCAATAATTACGTACCATGAAGCGTATTTTTCTTTTCATTAGCAACTAATTTATAAACGGTACCATTTAAAGTAAATTTAGCACCCGCGATCCTGTTAGCAACCCGTCCAACTGTGGCACCAAAATACGTTGTATCATTCTGCAGCAAATCACAAGTATATGGTGAGTCTTAATTTTTTTTTTTTTTTTTTTTTTTACAAGGCAAGAAGGGTTAAAAGTTAGATTAGTAGGTGCGGAGAGTCAAAACCTTACACTCAAAACTCCACGAAGGTACTAACCCACTAGGCTATCGAGACACTCCAAAATCAACCATCATTTTTATATATATAAAAAATAATAATAATAATAATAATAAAAGAGAGTAAATATTGGAATCTATAATTAATAGAGATCAGTACATAATGAAGTATAATATAATTGATACCAACAACCAGTCAACCACACCAGTAGGATAATCTATATTTTCTGTCACCATGTAAAAGTAGTGGGAAATTTTATTTGCAAAACAAATCAAAAGGAATATAACAGCTAATCATATTTGACCAAAAAAAACAAATAACATGTTAATGTCAATTAATGGATATAATTTATAAGAGATGATGAGCTTTCAAGTCAATTTAGAAGACTTTTAAGTCATACAAAACTGACAAGATCGTATCAGATAAAACAATCTCTAGGTTTCTTCAACTTGTATATAAATTCTTACCCACTTGTTGAGTTAAAGAGAAAAAGACATATTTGCCCTCATTATTGCACCACCATTGTTTGGTTCTCCATTCTTACAGACAATCACTACTAATCATTCCCAATTTTGTGTAACTAAATCTTTTTAATTCGCCTCTCAACAATCAATTTCCATTTCTCTCTTTAATTTTCATTTGATTTTTTCTACTTGCAGACAGTGATCTACAAGTAGCCTTGGAATAATCTCATCTGAACCCCCAACTCCAGCAAAAAAGAAAAAAAAAAGGAACATTTTTCTCTCACAAACAAATTTATATATTAAGAGATGGAAAGGAAAAAAAAAAAAAAAAAACCTTCCTTACCATAAATAAGTAAAGAAGAAAAATCTTACCATGTATTCCTTAACTGAATCATACCCAAGAACAATGTCAGTCAACTTTCCTGGAAAACAAACAAGGAGAGGGAAACAAAAATGATTAAAAGAAGGAAATTGAGAGAAAGTACTTCTAAATTGGAATGATTCACAAAAGGAGTAATTAAAATTAGACATACCATTTTTGTCAGGAAAAAGAAGAGAGATAATGCTTGCACCCCAGTTGGTCAACTTGAGAGATAAATCTCCTTTCTTGATCTCATAGAACCCTACATCTAACTTGGATGTCGTACCATCAACAACCACCCCAAAAGCCACAACTATGAAGCAGAACAATAGAGTGAGCTTCGACATATTTTTGGGGAAGCAAGGAATTTGGTGAGTAGATCAGATAAAGTAAAAGAAAAGCTTTTCAGACACTTTTCAAAGACAGTACGAAGTATAGCATTTCTTTACATAATTTATAGAAAAAGACACAGATTAGTGGGTGAGAGTTAAAACATGGGATAAATGGATAAAAATGATATTTATACTTATTATGATTGACTAATGGTCTTAAATGAGTTTTCAATTCTTTTTAGTGAAACACATGTTTCGTTCAATTTGAGATATTCAATTTTTTTAACAGGGCACAACGGAATATACTGTTCATGGAAGGTATTTTAGGCTAGTTTTTTTTTTTTTTTTTTTTTTTTTTTTTTTTTTTTTTTTTTTTGACAATTTTAGGCTAGTTCTCCAGGTTTAAATAGCTGGTAAAAATTAAATAAATTATTTAATATATTTTTTAATTAAATATAGAATACTCTTCTTTTAAGAGCATTACTTTATAATAAAAAATTCTAAAAATAAAAATAAAATGAAAAAGAAATAGAGAGCACCAATGATATTGCCCTTATCTTGATAGCCGGTTGTCTTGACTTTTTCTATTTCGAGTTTGGACAAAGTTAGCAAGTTGGAAAGATTCTCGACGGCAATATATGACTTACGTGGAAAGTGATTGAAATCATAGTAAAGTGTGTGTATATGTTAAAATAAATAATGTATAGTATTGAAACCAATGCGAAATGGGTTCTTACTAAAAATAATGTATATATAGCTATGAAAAAACTGATATAATTAGTACACTTCCAAATTTGAGAGTATTGTTTTAGCAATGACTGTAGCCAATAAACAAGGTGTGCCAATTGAATACATGTATTGATTATTTTTATATTTATCGGGTAAAGTGTAAAAAAACCCTGACCTATGGAGAAACTTGTAACTAATTTCTGAACTTTCAAAAATACAAAAAAATCCCTGAACTATGCAAAAAAATTACAGATCACCCCATCCGACCAATGTCCGGTGAGAATTAGCCGTTAAATTCTGTTGAATTTTTTTTAAAAGACCATACTGCCCTTAAAAGCATGAAAGGACAAGAGTGCCTTTAATACATATATATATATAAGAGTAAAACATATTTAATAAATAAGAGTAAAAAAATACTTTGTGTGTGATACAGAGTTGTTTGGGTTTGGTTTGGTCAAAACAATATCCCATTTGTTGCCGACGAACCCAGAAACGGCGCCGATGAGGTATCCGGAAAGGACAAAGGATGAACTCGGCATTGCCGTCGGTTGCCATGCGGCGATTGGATTTGACCATGCTACTACCCTTCAGAATCATGTCATCAATATGGTATTCATCATTTGATTGAAGATTAACATATGGCCGGAAGAATTCCATTGATTGAAGACTAGAACATGGCCGGAAGAACTCCATTGTTGAAGACTAGAACATAGCCGGGAACTCCATTGTTGAAGACCCATTGAAGAACTCAAACCGAAGGTTTCATCTGATCTTCTCAATTGAACCATACAAACCCAAGTAGGGGTGGCAAAAATTCCCAATCCGGTGTGGAACCGCCCCACCCTCGCCCCATTTAAAGCGGGTTTGGAGAACCGTTTACTTAAATATACACACAAACACACATACATATTTTGTTGTTAAACCCTATCCATCCCGATGTCTGTCCTTCTTCATTGCCGTCGCTGGTATATACAATGATTCAATTTTGGGATTTTGTAAAAAATGGGTTAGGGTTTTGCAGACAATTATGGGACTGGGTGACGATTTGATAGAATCAGCTCAGATGAATCTCCACTGATTCGAGTCACTCGTGCAATGCTTTGATTTCTTGAATTTCAAAACACACAGAGGGAGATCGATGATGAAGATGAACAATGCATATATATATATATATATATATATATATATATATATATATATATATATGTATATGTGTGTATTATACAGAGCTGTTTGGGTTGGTTTGTGTTTGCCACGTCAAGTGAAATGGAGTTTAAAGGGAATTGCGTCGTTTTATAGGAAGAGTAACATCGTCTTTTTCTTTTTTTGGGGCCTAAGTGGGCAAATTGTAACAAATTAAAAGTTTAGAAAAATTTAATATAATTACGGGGGGTTAGTTGCAAAACCCCCATAGTTTAGGGGGGTTTTTTGCACTTTACCCTTTATTATATTTCTACTTAAGTGGCAGCATTACTACTCTCTCACACTCTGCACTAAATTTTCAGAATTAATCCTTTATTCCAAATATTCAGATCTACAATTAAGCAAGTCATAGTACAATGGCAAGGAATCAACACATTCGTTCATAATTACATTTTTATTCATCAATCTTGCTCAGAATTTACAGAAAAAAGCTTAGCAGCCCTCTCATCTCGGACCTATTTCAAGGTCACGAAAATCCGAGAAAAAAAGGGGTTTCTATGCCTTATTCGAAAACTTGAACAGCATGGTGTGCTTGTAAGTCTTTCCAACAGGAACAATCTGTGAAGGGAAATTGGGGTGGTTGACCGCGTCGGGGAAGCCTTGAGTCTCCAAAGCAAGCCCGGCATGAACTTTATAAGTAAATCCACCTTTCCCCTTCAGGTCCTTAATATTAGAACCAGTATAAAACTGCAAACCAGGGGCATTTGTCAACAGCTCCATCTTTATTCCCGACTTCTTCTCCACCACTGTTGCTGCTGGCTTCAACTTCTTGCCCGTGCCACCGTCCAGGGCATAGTTGACATCATAACCGTCAGGAAGCCCGTAGAACTTGCTTTTCAGGACTGTTGGTTGAAGGAGATCATATGGCGTGCCCTTCACCGAATCGAGCTTGCCAGTGGGGATGAGATCCTTGTCAACTGCTGTAATCTGAGAACCGAATATCTGGATCTCATTCGACAAAATGTCACCACTGGTGTGACCACCAAGGTTCCAGTAAGTGTGTTGAGCCAAATTCACAGGGGTTGCCTTGTTTAGAGCTTTGCCTTTCATTACTACACTTAATTGGTTGTTGTCAAGAATGGTAAAAGTCACAGTGGTATCAAGATCACCAGGAAATCCTGCCGTAACACACAAGATCATTTAGTACTTGTTGCTCGAGCATAAGAAGGATATAGTAGTTCATCAGTGTTTCTATCCAATGTCTTGTTTCATAGCAATGCAGTCATATTATATTAAATTGGATGATCATCACTTCATTTATCTTAATCAATTTCTTATATAACTATTAAAATGTGGACACTCGTATATAATGACTGGATGGAGTAGAAACATATAATTGAAAAAATGGCCAATGCTCACCTTCTTCGCCATCATAGCTGCGATAGTAGAAGGTAATAGAAGGACGTTTACCGTCTTTCTTATGCTTTTTCACTTTCCAAACCAAATCACCGAATCCTTTTGCTCCACCTAGTAATTATATAATAAAATTCATTACAAATAATAAAAATATATATTTATATGTGAAAATGGAATCGAAAATTACGTACCATGAAGAATGTTATTCTTTTCATTAGCTTTTAATTTATACTCGGTACCGTTCAAAGTAAATTTAGCACCCGCGATCCTATTAGCAACTCGTCCAACTGTGGCACCAAAATATGTTGTATCGTTCTGCAGCAAATCACTTGTATATGGTGAGTCTTCATCTCAACCATCATTGTAATTCCAAAAATGTAATATTGGAATCTAAAACTAATAGTGGAGATTGCTACATAATCAAAATTTTGGATGAAATTATAATTTCATTGCTAAGACCCAAAGGATGATAGAAAGAGAACTCGGAGGTCAGATGAAATCGACCACACTGTAAAATTCACACCATTAATTCAAAATCATCAGGTGATGCATAAGAGACCTTCGATAACATTACTATTATAAATAAAAAATAAAACATTTTAACTATATCGATCAATATCTATTTTTACATCTTCATAAATGTGTTTAGTACCCGCTTCCTAATATTTCTTCTTATCTTCTAAAAAAGACTTGAGCTAACAAAGGACCAAAAGTGATATGGATCCCAACAACTATACGGATAATCTATATTATTTGTCACCTTGCAAAAGTAGTTGGAAAATTTACTTCTTAAACAAAGCAAAAGGAATATTACAGGTCTATCATGGCATAAATATAAATGCATATAGGCCTCTTCCACCAAGAACACAAATAATGTAGCATGTTAATCATGTCTGTCAACAATCGATTTAAATTATAAGAGATGCTGAGCTTTCAATTCAATTTAGAAGACTTTTAAGTCAATATAAAACTGACAAGATCATATCAGACAAAACATCTCTAGGTTTTCCAATTTCTTCAATTGTCTCCACATCATATAAATTCGATCTTACCCACTTTTTAAGTTATCAATATGTGTGTGCATATATATATATATATACACACACACACATATGCCCTCATCATTGTACCACAATTGTTGTTTTGTTCTCCATTCTTACAGACAATCACTAATATCATTCCCAATTTTTGATTTTCTGTGTGTGTGGTGTTACTAATCTTTTAATTTGCCTCTCAATAATCAAGAGATGGGTAAAAAAACAAAAAAACTTCCTTTCTACAATAAGTAAGTAAAGAAGAATAATCTTACCATGTAATCCTTAATTGAATCATACCCAAGAGCAATGTCTGTCAACTTTCCTGGAAAACAAACAAGGATAGAAAAGAAAAGGAAAAAAAAAAAAAAAAAATGAATAAAAGAATTAGGAAATTAAATTGAATAATTCACAAAAAAGGAGTAATTAAAATAAGACACACCATTTCTGTCGGGAAAATGAAGAGAGATAATGCTTGCACCCCAGTTGCTCAACTTGAGAGATAAATCACCTTTCTTGATCTCATAGAACCCAACATCCGTCTTTGGTTCTGTACCATCAACAAGAACAACCCCAAAAGCAACAATCATAAAGCATAACAATGGAGTGAGCTTCGACATTTTTTTGGGGTGAGCAAAGAATTGGGTAAGGCTTCTCAAAGAAATGTCTTAATATATACATAATATAGCATTTGTGAATTTGTGTACATATTTATTTATAGAAAAAAGATTAGATATTAATGGGTGAGAGTTAAGCCCGGGTTAAAGAGATAAAATGATGTTTATAACAAAATAAAAATAAAATAAATAATGGTAAGAGAGACAAACCAATGGTTTTGCTCTTATCTTGACTTTTTCTATATCGAGTCTTCGGCAAAGTTAACATGTTGGAGATATTCTTGACCGCAATCAATGACTTTTTTTGGAAAGTTTTTTAAATCAACTTTAACAGAATTGAAACTTGAAAAAATAAAATAAAATTTGAAACTCATGTAAAATTGGTTCTTACTAAAATGATGTATATCATTGAAACCAATACCAGAAATGGGCTCTTTCTGACATACTGTATAGCTACGAAATAATTGATATATTATGTGCACTTTTCAAATTTGATTCAGTTTTAACAATATTGTTTTGTAGCTATTCGTGCTTAGAGAATTATAAAGTGTTCTAAAAATTCTTACGCTTAAAAAAAAAAAAAAAAAAAAAAAAAAAAAAAAAAAACACAAAGGAGTTAGTCAGTTATATTCCCACCACGATAGGGTCATCAAGGAGGAGGATTTGAGCACATTTATGCGTGGTATTAATGAATTTAATGATCAATTACAATCTTACAAGTTATCTTAGAAAGAAAAGACCTAAAAGCATACCATTCAAGAAAAGAAAAGAAAAGCCTGAAAAGTGGGACATGATTCTCAAGTTTCTAGTGTGGCTGCATTGAACAAGAGGCAGAAATAAAATTATTCTTTTGATCAATTACTTTTAGTGCTCATGAGTAATTGCATCCGAAGTTTTTGGATTAGATCACGAAGTATTCATTCGTGATAAATAATATCAGAGAATGTTTAATTCTGAATTCGGTATTACGCGAAATGTTTAATTTTTGGATTAGATCACGAAGTATCCATTCGTGATAAATAATATCAGAGAATGTCTAATTCTTAATTTGGTATTACGCGAAATGCCCACACGAAGGCGTCTAGGTCAGGTATTAGGTCTCACAAGATCCGCTGAGTGTGAGAAAATATTATGGATTTTAGTCCCACCTCTTCCATTCATCGAGTAGACATTGGGTACTCATGCATATCATGTCATTAGTATATCTACCAAATCAAATATAACACATTAGAGTAATAATCTCTTACTCACTGGTGAACAAGAAATTCATCCGCACCATATATGATAACCGTTGGATGTTAAAAATACAGTTACCAAAATAACATAGCAATCAAATCCAACAGTTACTATATACATGATGTAGATGAATTTCTTACTCACCTGTTAGTAACACATCATTTTTGTAACATATTATTTTTAATTTTATAAGTAGGTTGATCGACATTTTTTTGTTAAAATAATATTCCTATATTGTTTTTCGACCAATAATATGGCATAGAAGGCACACCCAATATATACTCCACATTCCTATATCTTGTGGCAACCATACGCCACTGTAGACACTGTTAACCCAATTTTATAAAATTACCCTGATCAAAACCTACCTTGATCACAAGACTCCTAGAAAATAATTTTATTAGAGCAAACCATTAATAAATTTTTTGGACCACCAAATCCAGGACCATTCGATCCAACCCAACCGAACTCAACCAAAAGCATCTATCCCGCCTATTCAAATCCGTAAGCACAAAATTACATAACGCGAGTCGCGAGCAAATGAGCCAAAAATGGCTCTGGCGTTGCCTTCAGCTTCTTCTTCTGTCGAAATCCCCATTACAGGTACCTTCCTTTCTCTTCACATAGTCATATATATATATATATATAGTAGATGTGAAATTTGAATTTAGTACTGAACTAGGCAGAGACGATGAATATGGAATTTTTCAATTGATTGTGAAATCAATCAATCAGATTCTGTACATTTTCCCAATCATCACATTCATTAATATTCGTAGGTAAATGGAAAAGTTGCAGATTGATTAACTGCGTTTTGGATAGCAAAAGGAGAGGTCGATTTCAAGCCAGTTCTTGTGTTGCAATGTGTACGTCGTCGTCTTCAATTTCGATGTCGAAGAAGCTGGTGTGGATATGGACTGAGAACAAGCAAGTCATGACGGCCTCTGTGGAGAGAGGATGGAACACTTTCGTCTTCTCTTCTCATCGTAGAGACCTTGCCGATGAGTGGTCTTGTAAGCTGCTCTTGTATATCTATGGTCTTGCTTTTTCTGCATTATTAGCTTTTGTTCTTTGTTAGTGGTTGCTATGTGATTTTGTACTCTCTAGTCTCTAGTTCATAAGAAAATTGAACTTTCTCTATGCGCTCAATCACTGCCCCATCCCTTAAACATCAAATTGAACAACTTGATTCCATTAGTGTTCATACATATAGATTATAGACACAGTATTTAAGGAATCAAGCTTAAACTAGCCAAACAATTTAAAGAATACAATGAATTTTTGTTAACCTACCTAGTTTTTCTTCTTTATTTCGTTTCATATTTATATTTTTATCTTTCTTGAAACCCTCCAACAAATATTCCTCCCTAAGAGAAGAATGGACTTATCCACCAAGGGCACTAGTTTACTGGTACTTCTTCACCTTCTAAAGATTGAGAGTTCAAGTCTCCATTAGGGCAAGATAGGTGAGTAAATTTCAACTAGGAAAAATAATGAACTTGTCTGTGTGGTTTAATTCCTCTCAAGATCAACAAAAACTGAAATAAAAATTAGAAATCTTGCTATGTACACTCCTAAAATTCTAGACTGATGTTAGTCATTGAATTGTGGACACAGGTAAAAATATTTGGCAGTCAGAAGAAATATGAGAAATTGAAGAGATCAACTTTTTTGGTTTTGTTTTGTTTTGTTTTTGCGTGTGTATGTGTGGTAGGAAAGCTACACAAGCGCACACACAACACAGTCCTATGTGGGGCTCGGACTACTCACATCCCCTTTGCGGAGGAGAGCTTGCAGCACCTGTGCCAATGGCCTGATGGTAAGAGATCTCTTGAATGTAATTATATGACCATTTGTGTCATTTCAAGAATCAAAGCATTCTATAACAAAGGCAATGCCAACCAACATATGGAGAAACCTTGTAGTGTGCAAAACTGGCTGATTTTCATCAGTCATATAAGGTTTCCATTCTCACTTGTAGCTATATATACATATATTCAGTAAGAACATACCAAACGTAGCAATTAAAGCAGCAACTACTGTATTTGACACCCCATTACTATTTTAAAGCATGTCTATTCCATGTCACCAGAAACAGTGTTCAATCTTTTCGCTCTGATGTTTCTATTGTGAAACTTACAGCAATTGCGATGATTTATCCACTCTTTATTGAAGAGGGACAGCTTTTTGATAGTGAACATAGAAGAGTTGCTACATTCTCTGAAATTTCTTCTCCAGAACAATTAAAGCAGCTCCAACCAGAGGATGAGCAGGCACAAAATGTCATTGTTAATCTACTAGATTGGCAGGTATGCCCATTATAAATACTCTTGGGAATTTAAGGCCATGAATATTGATCTCATACGCTTTCACACACACCTGCATTCTGCATTGAATTTTTCTAAATATGTTTAAACCCCCGTGTTGACAATTGATGAAATCACATAGAAAACTATACCTTATGGAGCACTAAGGAATGGGAATGAACTTATCTCTCAATCACTTGCAATGGAAGAATGATATTTTTAACAGAAGCTGTTATGTCTTGTCCACTTGGTCAATATCTTGGATGCTACTCGTGTTATGATTTTTAAGTATACAATATTACTGTTCGAGGCATGTTGGAATCGACTTTTTCCTTCAATCACAGGGATGCTTTTAGCCTAGGAAAAAGAAAGAACACTTTAACGATATTGTTGGAAGATGTTTACCTGTCGGTGTGTATCTTTAGTAGCTAAGCTTGCTTTAAGGCCATTACAGTCAAATCCATTTTAATGAGCATATCAATTATTACAGTAAAAAGCTGCGAGATTTTTCTGATGTTCCAGCAACTTTTGTTGCAGTCTCCATGCTTTTTGGGATTCTCCCATGCCCATGGAATGTTAATATGCACAATAATGGGCTAGTTAGAGTTGCACACTGTTGTCACGTTCGCATTTCCTTTAGATTGCTGGATGAGGCTGTGGCCCTTGTATACAACTCTCAAATGATAGTTATGCTCCAGCACTATAATTGTCCAATCACTTTACATTAAGCTATGATAAGCAACATGATAAAATCTCTATTATTTTTGCCAGGAATGCTCCTTCACTGCTCTTGCTTTTATCAATCAACTTATTTGTTACCAGATGAAATAATTTAGCTCATTTTCTGGAAATATAGATATATTTTTTCTCAATATTTATGATGAGGGCCTGCTTCTCAGTTGGTCTCTGGTCATGTGTTTTTTAGGTGATACCTGCAGAGAATATTGTTGTAGCATTCCAAAGTAGTCAAAAAACAGTATTTGCCATCTCTAAGACTCCTTCTGAAGCACAAATTTTCCTGGAGGTAATTATTAAATATACAAAATTGAAGACCGAATGAATAACCTGTACTTGTTGAAAGAACTGCTAAAATTCTTTGATATTGTGAACTTTGCTCTTTAAATGCACTGTACACTTTCAGATTTTAGTTTTTGTAGGCCTTGGAGATGGGTCTGGGTGGAGTTCTTTTGAAAGTTGAGGATGTCAAAGCAGTCCTTGAGCTGAAGGTAATGCCTTCTAAGATGAGGCGGTATTTTGACTGGTATAGCACTGCTCCTTATCATGGTTAATATTATCAGGACTATTTGGACAGAAGAAATGAAGTGAACAATCTATTGGGCTTGACTAAAGCAACGATAACTCTAGTTCAAATGGTTGGAATGGGTGATCGAGTCTGTGTGGACCTCTGTAGCCTCATGAGACCTGGCGAAGGACTTCTGGTAGGTTCAACTGTCCTGGTTACATTCCTGTGGTTCTCTTAGTTATAACTCCCATATTCATATATTAGGCTACATGCTTATTGCAAAATATCTTTTTCTTAGGTTGGATCTTTTGCTAGAGGGCTATTCCTTGTTCACTCGGAATGCTTGGAATCAAATTACATTTCCAGCAGGCCTTTTCGAGTCAATGCGGTGAGCTTTAGTTTGGAGTAGCTAGTGATGATATCTTGGTGACTGATGTTATTGTTAAATCTTGCTGAGGGTTATGCCATTAGGTTTAATATATCAGTTGCCGTAGCAAGCTTAATGGTGTCTGCTTAGTTCAGTATATGCAAAAGCTGATTAATTCACCTATACCTTTTTCTCTCTTCATGGCATGGTCAAATGAGATCAATGTTGTAATTAGAAAAAAATAATATATATATATATAAATATGAATATTTTTTACTTATTGTTCAATATCATATTAAAATCTCTCTCTCTCTCTCTCTCTCTCTCTCTCTCTCTCTCTCTCTCTTTCTCTCTCTCTCTCTCTCTCTCTCTCTCTCTCATTATATATCATATTAGTGATTAGTCCATCTGTTTATTTATTTTGTTTTGCTTTATTATTTTATTTTTTTATTATTATCTCGTGTTTTAAGCATTTCGATAAATTACACCCCTCCCAAATATATATATTATATATTATTTACATTAAAGATGTTTTTATTTTGGTATGGCACAATTTGCATGTCCAAATGCAGTGGAAGTTAGATTGAATTGTTTCAGTACCATTTGTTCTACGAACATCTCATACATTATATTTCCTGTTGAATTAATAGGTCTAGAAACTTGTTTTGCCGAAAAAATTAGTGTGCATATATTTTTCCCAGGAGGTTTTTGTCTCCATGACAGTACCTGGGGCACATCTCTCCTACTGAAGAATACTCATAGAAGTTCAGTTGATATCCTTCCTTTTAGCTAATCATAATTATCTTTTGGGGGCAAATGAATCACCTTCATTGAGTTGCAAACATGATGGTTGGAGTTGCATAGAGCTAATCGGTTGATTTGCATATTTACTTGCATTTACGAATATGCAGGGGCCGGTACATGCCTATGTTGCTGTTCCAGGAGGAAAGACTTCCTACCTTTCAGAGTTAAAAGCAGGGAAAGAGGTAATTGTGGTTGATCAAAGTGGTGTGCAACGGACAGCAACTGTGGGCCGTGTAAAGATAGAGACCAGACCGTTAATCCTTGTGGAGGCACAGGTTTGTGTACAACCACACTTTTTTTTTTCTTAGTTAACTGTACATTAATCTTAAGCTCAGAAGAAATGGGAAAAGCAACTTTTCAATCCACTGATCATTTGTTTGTGTGGTGGCTTTGAGTAAATGCCGTGTAGCATATGTTCACAATGTGGCATATTACTATAATACTGAATAATCTCAAATTGCATAGTTAACATCATATTCTGTGATATTGTCAATAAGTGCAAAGTCCCTAATGGGACACATTAACATAGTCTATTCGGCATTAGGGGGGTGAGGCTAATGGCTACCTGTCTAAGCACTTGTCACAATGTAATGAAGATCTTGTAAACTTAGCAGGACATCCTACATCTTCAAGTCTTTCAACCTGCAATTAGTTTTGCAGAGTAGGTAATAGCTGCATTGAAGGTCCGAAACGAGCATCAGAATGATCTTTATTCTAGGTTTCATGGTTAGTGTTCCTTAATCTTAGAATGCTTTTGATATGCTGTTTTACCTTGGTCATTTCTCTTTCGAAAAAATATCAGCAGTTTGATTAGGTGGGGCCAAAATAGATGAGTTTTGCAGCACGAAGTCTGTCTAGTTTGGCTGGTGATAGTGCTTTGTTTTTGCATTGATTGCATTATGCGTCTTAGTTGGCTTCATATATCTTTCTGGTGTTTTGTAATGGCAGCTGGATTATTTATCATCTCAGTTTCTCATGGATAGCATCTTCTTCCAAGAGGATATACTGTTCATAAGTTCTTTTTGTTCCTTTATTTATTTATTTATTTTTTGTTTTTAGTTTTTATATTTGTCAGGATTTCTACATTTTAATCCTTTGTTCTAGTTTTGGAAATTTTCTTAACCCGGACTATCCCCCTTGCTTATCTTGTATTGCTGCTTGTTGAAATTTGATCTCAGCTTGCTTACCCAAAAGAGAAAAAGAAGAAGATATTTGTAGAAAAGTAATGTAACATATTTGAAAACAGAAACGTTTATTTGAGAAAACAAATTATCTTTGAGGAAGAGTTAAATAACTTATTACTGAATTAAAGGTAATAAGAATATTGAACATTGAAAATCATAGGTCAAGTTGGAGTACCTAATACAAGGTGCTGACCCAAGGAGAGTTCTCGTTCCTCTTACTTGACCACATTGTGAGAAGGTCCATATGCTGTATTCAGTTAATCTAGAAAGGGAAGAAAAGGAGCAAGTAGAAAAGAGAGGAAAAGAAAGAATTTTGGATTGGTACAGTTTTTTTGTGAGAAGGTCCATATGCTGTATTCAGTTGACTTTTTGAAACTTCTCATATTGCAGAGAGATTCAGATGGTCACACTCCTTACAGCATCATTCTACAAAATGCAGAAACAGTTGCCCTAGTCTGTCCCCACCAAGGTCTATTATGCCCCTACACATAATTTTCTTGAAGCCTACTTGATTTTTTAATCGTATTCTTCATTTTCTAGATTTAATCTGTGACCTCTACTCTTTGCCAGGAAATGGACATAAAATGATGGCCATTCCAGTAACGTCACTCAAAGTTGGCGACGAGGTTCTTCTGAGAGTACAAGGAGGTGCTCGACACACGGGAATTGAGATCCAAGAATTCATTGTTGAGAAATGAACACGATTTGTATCCTATAGAACTGGTTTGTCATTATCACACGGTGACATGTTCATTGTCATATGTTGCTGAGTTTCAACCTATGGACCTTAGAGATGGCAATTAATGTGATGTTGAAGAAGATTGTGATCTGTCTAGGACCATCCCCGTCACATTTGAGAAACCAAATCAAATCAGTTACCCTATGCAAGTGTGGCTACTGTTGTATTATTTGTGATACTACGGTCAATAATGAAGAATTTCTGGTGATTCTGATCCTATTTTGCCTGCTCTCTTTGCTTCAACAACCAATACAAATCTTCCCCAATTGATTAGCAAGCCTTTTTTGTAAATCACCAGACTGATAATCGAAACCTATGGTATTATGAAATGTACTTTCGGTGTATAATTTATCTGTTACTGAAAAGAAAGACTAAATAAAAGGATTTTTTTTTTTTCTAAATGGAGACAGACAATTTGAAGCTTCTATAAAGGGTTACTGGTTTTAGTATTGTGAAGGGAGCGGTTTGAAAATTAAAATTTAAGAAAAACAATTTAAAATATCAAATAAGTTTGAAGTTTCAAACATTTTTAATAAAATGATAAAAAGAAAAATCGGATATTAAACTGTGACCCTTTGTAATAAAGGAACTCAAAAGCTTAGAAGAAACTTATTTAGATATGATTAAGACGAAGACAATTCAGAAATCGTTCACAAAATAATGAAATTCTTACTACTCCATGGCTTATACTTACTGTTGGAGGGTGCGTTTTCATCAATCAACTTGATCTTGAATATAAATGAAAGTTCGAAGCAACAGAAGAACGTCGAGTTTCACACGAGGTCAATCACGAATAGTTAATTTGCCTAAAACATGAAAGGATTAAAGAAAATGATAGAAGTTAAGAAACTACGACCATAAGCTATATGTTTACAGATAAAATGTTCAAGCATTAACTACAGTGATGACTCCCTTACTTGCTTCATAAAAAATCGAGAAATGTACTGGTGCCAAATCTACCATATATCGTTCATCTTATTACAACTGGATTTATACCTAGAGAGAACAGAACAAGTGCCACTGAAGCATGGTCATTGCGCGGGAAGAGTTGAGGCTGCAGCAGTCTTCTTAAAATCTATTTTGTCAACCTTCACCTCTCCATCAATGAGTTCATAAACATAGACAACAACACGCAAGCCATCAATGTCCATGAGCACAAAACTTGGGTTCACATCATAGGTGATACTGCTGTACGCACCAGTGGCAGACCCAGGATTTATGACAACGCCACCCTCATGTTTGTAGGCCTTGAACTGATGGGTGTGGCCGCTAATAAGGATGTCCACATCTAACTGTCTCTGGAGCATCGCTAGAGAGTCCAGGTCTCCCCATGGAACGATCTTCAGATTATGAATGCACGATAAGAACTTATTAGTGTTATTAAGTTACAACAAACAAAATGAGAACAATATTGAATATTTAGACAGTACTTAGTGACGTTTCATTTTGTAATGATGTAGATACCATTGGTACTTCGAGAAATAAGAAAATGGTAGATCTGGGAACTGGCAATAGAAAATTCATAATACCACTGTGCTTGGAACAATTAGGATAATCAGTCAACAACTTCATAAATCCCAATATAAGATGCCTCCTTGCTAAAATTTGATTTTTGGTATAAATAAAGGCTTCTGTCCTACCAATCAGAGTGATATCAGAGTGATGGGAGGAGTTAGCTGGATGTAGACCTACACTAAGTATTATTTGTAATTGGTTATTCTGAATCTCGAAACCATGTTCTCACTCTTGATAATTCGAGCATTTTGATATTGCACCAAGCAATGACCCCTCAAACTCTCACTATATACTGGAAAAAGTATATTTGTAAGATTAAATTTGGCACCATGCTTGTGGAGGTTGAAGAATCAAATTGAATCAAATCTGGTGACCCTTGCAGCAATACTGAGAGAGGGAGAAGAATCAAACCTGATGACCATGGCATAACCCAAGCTTAAATTGTCCAATGGTAAGTGTTTTGGTCTCTGGATAGCGGGAATCCTCATCATATTCACCTCGTGTAACATGCAAGCTTGGACAAAGGCTCTTCAAGTAATCATGAACTTCCTGCTCATGGAAACAACCATAGAAGTACGCTCAGGTACAAAGGTTTTAGCAAGGTATAAATAAATATGGAAAGAAAAATGTGAATTGTTTCCCCTTGTGGATATCAGTTATAGTACCATGCTCTGTGTCAGTCTTATATACACTTAAATTAAGTATATGGGACAGACAACATAAATTACATTCACAAGGCAAGCAACTTTACTATCATTGGTACAACCACCTGGTGCTTGATGAACTTGCACCTTTTTTCTTACACTGAAAATTTTAGTTCATAGCAATTGACGGTAGCAGTTGATTGTCACAAACTTGAAAATCCAAGGCAGCAAAACTAATCATCGTCATCCTAATTCCTTGCCCATCTCTTATTAATTAGATCGGTCATGAATTCTCTTCTTTCATTCTTTTCTATTATAAACTCTCTCCTACAATATATAACCTTGTAAAATACTTATCAAAAATAAAAATAATTAACTTTGTATAATCATTTCTAAAAATTTCATCCCGTGTTAATTTGGGACTCCTTCACTGTCTAACTTTTATGTGAATTGGTCGCCCTCTTTGTACCAGTGCATTTATGTCTTTGCACATGTCTTATACCACCAAAGTCGACTTTCTCTTAGTTTATTTCTAATAGGCGCTACTCCTATTTTATTCCCTCACATTTTGATTAGTAATCCTATCTCTTCTAGTCACTCCTATCATCCATCTTTACATCCTAATTTCTGCTATTGTTGTTCATGTTTCTTTTTCAATGCGGGAGACTGTGCACCATATAAAATAGTTGGCCTAATAACTGCTCTGAAAAATTTTCCTGTTAATTTATTTGTTATTTTCTATTGCATAAAACACCACAAATAAATTAAAAGAACAGTTATTAGGCAGCAAAACTGATTGTTATCACCAAAAAAAACAACTTTGTAAAAGTAATATCTAAATTTTTTAATTTCCATCAAAAGAAGGGGCATTTTGAATTCTTCAAATAAGTCAATGTTTCTCGAACAGATATTCAAATAGTGCATTAATTAAATAGTCTCTCACTCAAACAACTCTCCAACTCCTAACCCACCAGGTAACCTCTTAGTCACAGGGAAGCCTAAACACAGACAAAAAGCCAAAGCAATAAGCATGGGTAAACAACAACCAAACTGAAGGACTCACACCAGGAATTTTTTTTTGTTTTTGGTGGCCAAGGATGATGAATTGCAGTGGCAGCGACTGACACCTCTATCAGAAGGCAATCATGAATGCTCCAATCCGGGAGGTGTAAATATCTTATTGAAGGCAGTGAACAGTGTTATTATATGGTGTCACAAACAATCTTGCACTTGTGCCTGCAAAGAGTATATTGCCAACTGAAAATAACTATTGATATGGCAAGCTAATGTTGTCGTTGAAATCTAATGGTGCCCCATTCATGCCAAAATCCAATAATTAAAGAACAAGTCTGCCTAAAAAAAAGGCTTCAAATGCCTAAAAAGTTTCCTACCTCTTTCACAAACCAATCTAGAACCGAGATCTTCAATGCCCAAAGATGCCAATGAGATACGTGGCAAGAGTGCCACTTAAAAATTTCTTTTGCAACAAATGACCAATCCCATTGTCAGCCTTCCTAGATAGCTAGATTGTCAACTGTTAGAATGTTATATATATATATATATATGTTGGGCCATTATGTAATTACATTATGTTAGTAGGGCCCTTGTGTTATTAAGGTGATTTGTATCCCTTATATAAGCCTATATAGGCTTATTAGGTTTGTAAGTGTGTATGTGTGAAATATAGAACAAGCTCTCTCTCCTCCTCTTTGTGTCTCTCATGATAAACAACATGGTATTAGAGCTCTACGAATTCATGGGTGCGAGGGTCTGTAATTGTGTGGTTTAAGATCGGAATCACGATCGGAATCGCGATTGTGGTGTTGGTGTTCCGTTCGTCGCCGGCAGCTCCCCGTTCACTGTCATCAGATCTGCATCGTCATTCGTCGTCGTCAGATCTGCATCGTTTGTCATCGTCGTTGCCGGCAGCTTCTTTTTTGGTTGTCAGCGAGCTCGTCATCAGATCTACCGTCTTGATTTACAAAGGAGAGATTAGTCGAAATTTTTTTTTGGCCGAAAGTTGCAGAGGTAGCTGTCTCTTGATTCGGCCGTTGCTTGTGACTGGGTCGCCATTGTCTTCGCTGCTTTGTTCACCAGCGTTTGTGAAGGTGTGAAGAAGAAGACCCTTGTTTGGCTACACAGTTATGCTATTCCAATCCTGGTTTACTAAACCTGGAGTACTATTCCAACCCTGGATAGCCCGGATTCGGCCCGTTTGACCAGATCTGGCCCGTTTTGTCGCCTTAAAAAAGCCCTATATGGATTGAAACAATCTCCACGGGCTTAATTTGGAAAATTCTCCGAGGCGGCATTAAAATTTGGTCTTAACAGATGTCAGACTGACCATTCGGTATTTCACCAGCACACTAAAGCTGGCTTCATCTTTCTTATGGTATATGTAGATGATATTGTGATCACAGGTGATGATTCTGATGGCGTTGCTAAGTTGAAGTTGTTTCTGCAATATCGATTCCACACTAAAGACTTGGGTAAACTTAGGTATTTCTTGGGTATTGAAGTTGCTAGATCCAAGAAGGGTATAAGCTTATCCCAACAAAAATATGTGTTGGATTTATTAGAAGAAACAGGTATGTTGGGTGGTCGCCCAGTTGATGCTCCTATGGATTCAAATACAAAACTTGTGTCTGATGAGGGTGATCTATTTAATGATCTGGGCAGATTTCGTCATCTTGTTGGGAAGTTAATTTATCTCACTATCACTCGACCTGATATTTCATATACAGTTAGTGTTGTAAGTCAGTTCATGGAAGCTCCTAGAATGCCACATTGGATTGCTGTTCTTCGGATTATCCGATATCTCAAGCAAGCTCCAGGTGTTGGGTTACTATATAAATCAAATGGTCATCTTAGGGTGGAAGGTTTTACAGATGCCGACTGGGCTGGTTCTCCTTCAGATAGGAGATCTACTATAGGCTACTGCACATTTGTAGGAGGAAATCTTGTTACATGGCGAAGTAAAAAGCAAACGGTGGTAGCTCGATCTAGTGTTGAAGCTGAGTATAGGGCAATGGCCCATACTACTAGTCTACTAGTGAGTCGACCTGGATACAACATTTTCTAAAAGAACTTGGGTTGACAGTTGAAGCTCCTACTCCATTGTTTTGTGATAATCAAGCAGCAGTTTACATTGCCTCAAATCCTGTGTTTCATGAGAGGACCAAACATATTGAAATTGATTGTCACTTCATTCGAGAAAAGATATTGCGTGGGAGCATCTCTACTCCATTTGTAATGTCTGAAGATCAATTAGCTGATATGTTTACCAAAGCATTGGGTCATAACCGGTTAAGAACTATCTGTTCCAAGCTGGGATTATTTGATATATATTCTCCAGCTTAAGGGGGAGTATTAGAATGTTATATATATATATATATATATATATGTTGGGCCATTATGTAATTACATTATGTTAGTAGGGCCCTTGTGTTATTAAGGTGACTTGTATCCCTTATATAAGCCTATATAGGCTTATTAGGTTTGTAAGTGTGTATGTGTGAAATATAGAACAAGCTCTCTCTCCTCCTCTCTGTGTCTCTCATGATAAACAACATCAACAATGTGAGATAATCTCCTATCTCCTTTTAACTTGAATGATGGAAGAATTTCTCTGGCGATCTCAACACTGCCATATATCTATTTCTAACGGTCATCACTCTGTGGTCCCTAGTCCCTACTATCCTCTATTGTCGATTTGTAGCTCACCAACACTCTACCATCATGCCATTCAAACTATCAATTTTCTGCTAGGGAGAACTGTCATGTGGCTTAACAAGGACATAATTTAAATGGTTGTAAGCATATTCACATCAACCAATACACACAAGAGAGCTTTCAGAAGACACAGTTTCAACATTGGAAAGTTAAAGCTAGCTATCAAAATCATCTTGTATCTAACTGAAACTTAATACAAACACTATATGGGAGGCAAACTCGACAAGCATGGGGGTTCCAAGTGTTTGTCAAGCCAAAAAAAATTATAATTTTGCACAGTTAAACCTAATCAAACGGGAGTTGGGACACCTACCAAAATAATAAATAAAAGAATCAAGTAACCACAATAATTTCATGCCTTCTAGCAATTCTTCTCGATTTTGTGTTTATGGACACAAGGATTAAATTATGGTCAAACAAGGAAAATCAAATGCATGTTGTGAATGAAATTCAGAGATTGGTTCCAGCATCAGTTATCATTTGATAAAAAAATAAAAAATAAAAAAATACAATAATTCAAAGAGGATTAAGCAAAAAAAAGAAAAAGAAAAAAGAACACGTACACAATCAAGAAAACATTAGCAAACCCAGAAAAAGAAAAATCAAAATATTGAGAAGAAGAAGTGGGGTACTTTGATACAGAGATTGCCTGTGCAAATGATGTGCTGGATCTTGCCAGGAACAAGCATGGATTTAAACTTTGCCGGTAGATCAGGTGCCCTGTGTGGGATGTGAAGATCCCCAATTGCCAGCACTAACACCATTCTCTTCTACTCCAATAGTTTACATAAACCACCTAATGCTCAAAATTTCATCACAATCTGCACCAAAAATTACAATAACTAAATTAACACCCCAATTAATGCCTAAGAACACAAATCTTTCAAAATTCTTGACAAAAAAACGGATATTGTAAATTGATTCCTTAACATTACCTAACAGACTAACCCTAAAAGATAGAGAAGAGTGAAAAAATCTATACAAAATTTAGGTTTTAGTGGTGACACACCAAAATTTCAAATTCCATACGGCTGTATTTTCAAGATCTACATCAAAAACCTAAAATCGCATTTAAATATACAAAAACATATATATATATATATATATATATATATATATATATATCAGCGTATGAATATGTACAGACATATTCAAATCAACACTCAGACTTGGGGATTTACTCGTATAATATTTTCAATTGCTTTTCTTGAAAACCTCCACCTCCTCCTCGTTCGATGATGAAAGAGCTACAAACACGCATGAGCAATTTTTATTTTTTTATTTTGGATTAATTACACTCACACCCTGAAGTTTGCCTTATTAACAATCAGATGAAAGTTGACCTATTTTTTAACATTAACACCCCTTAAAATTGGTAAAATTAACGGTGACCCCCCTATTATATCTAACACAAGATAAATTGACCTTAATGGCCTTTGACTGGTCAATTGACCTATTTAAATCACAAATTTACTATTTTAACCTTTTAGTGATCTTTTACATATCAAACCCACCCAACACAATTCAAACAACATAAAGCAACCTATTTCCCAATTGTAAAAGATGCTTAAGTCCGATTTGAAGATGAATTCAAGCTAAAAGAATCAATTGATTACTTACAAGCTCTCACCCAATAAACAACAATAACAACCCACCGTCTCAATATTTAGCCACAAAATTGATAAGTTTATATATATGTATATATGTTTATGTTTCTGTTCTGATTTTGATCGTGTCATATGTGTATCAGTCATTGTGCAATGTGTATGGGAATAGAGGTAGGATGAAGAGGATGACATTTTTGGGTCTGAACAAAGAAGGTAAGGGTAGAAGAAATCGAAGAAAAGCTCCATTAAGAACCACCACCACCACAAGAATGGCAATGGAAATAACCGTAATTTGATGACGTAGGTATATGGTATATGTGTGTGCGTGCGCATTGTGTGTGTATGGAATTTATATGTATATACTTCTTCTGTTTTAATTAAGTGTCGTTTTTGGGGAATAGTAATTTTTAAAGGAACATATGGAACATGCATTGTCTCCTTGGAAAGTTACTAACTTGCCTTTTTAAGTTTTGAATATTAAAGTTTGAAATTTTAAACTCAAAAGACATATATAGAAAGATGTGAAATAAATTATTTGAAAAGGGAAAGTGAATAATTATTTTGGGACAGACAAAAAGAGAAAGTAATATTTTTTTTGAGACAGAGCGAGTATGATTGCATATGTGATTGGTGACTGAGCAATGAAAGGGATTGAAACAAAAGAAACTTCCAACATCTACCTCTCTACAATGGAGGCCTCAAAATTGAAATAGCCAGACCTAAAAAGGCAACAAACCCTAACACCCTGTAGCAGTGGAAGAAGAAGAAGCGATTCGAATTCGCCCAAATTCGAGTTGTGGATGGTTCGAAACCCTTCTTTCCCATAACTCAATCTTCTTTGCCGATGAGTTGTTCATCAACGGTATCCTCCTCCCTCTCCACCCTCTTCACCACTCGAACTTCTTAGTTTTTCGATTTTGCAAAAACTTTTCAAGTATATTTATTACCAATGGTGGGTCTTTGGGCTTGTTGTCATCATTGAAGAAGAAGAAGGGTGGGTCTTCAGGCTCATTATCGTCTGATCGCAGTCATCATCGTTCTCATTCAAGGAATCTCGGAGAAATGGTTGTAATGGTGGTCGAAATGGTGCGTTCGTGGTTGAAGACGTTGAACTCTGTGATTTTTCCCAAAATACATTATATATATAAGGTTTATTTCACTAACGGCCCCTTCAAATTTGACCAAATATCACATTAAAACAATTTTTAAAATTACTATCATTCACATTACAAACGTTTAGTCCGTTTTTCACTCACATCTCAAAAATGACTTTCAGTTGTCACATCACTTTTTATATGTAAAAAAACATTGTTACCCCTTTTAACTTTTTGTTGAAAGTTATTTCATATATAAAATGACTTAACTATCCCTAGGAAGCATTTTTAGTGACTAAAATATATAAATATGGAACCCCTCTCTCTATCTCTCTCTCTTTCTCTCACTAGTGTGTGTGTATTTTGATACACTAATTTGCTTTCTGGCAGAAGACGCTGGAGGAGAGATTTGTTGCTATGAGCGGCCATGTAAAATAGATATGTTGTTGGGTTAGTGTTAGGAATTGCTTATATATAAATATGGGCTCGTGGATCTGATCTTTTTTATGAGCCTTGGTTGGGTAAGACACAAGCTTAGTTATATTTCACTTTTGATGGGCCATCTTATACATACACTAAATGGGTCTTTTTATATATAAAAATTAATGTACAGGTGCTCACTAATATATATGTCAACGGTTTAATAGCTTTGTTCATAAATATGTCAAGGGTAAACAAGCCCTATAGAAAGTTGTTTGAAATTGATTCATTTATTAATTGAGTTTGAAAATTCTGTTTGGAATTGGTTTATTTATTAAACAAATAAATACAAACAAAATTTTTAAAAAGTCGAGTCCAAATTGTTCGTTGAATTTTTAATTCATTTACAACTCTAATCAATCCTAACGAGTGACCGATAGTTTGTGTGATGACAATAAATGATAGTATGTGTGATTTTAGTGTGATTCGTGTGAGAAAGGATCAAAACTTGTCAAAAAGACCAGCGTGTTCATCACTTTACCCTTTTGACAATAATCATGAGATTCCTAATCATGAAGAGCCTTGGCAGCCATTAATACAGAGGAAGAACAAGTACTATGTATCTTTGGAGTGGTTCCAAACTTCCAATATGTCAAGACCAATAATGACCAGATGGTCTAAAATCAACTCCGTCCAAGACGGTGGCCATGGATGACATTGATGGGTCATCTGTACCTTGTTCGGTTTATATTAATTTGGTGGGAGTCCATAAAGAATTAAATGTTTTTTAGCCCAGAAAATTTCTAGCTGAGTCCCTTCGTATGACAGACTTGTTACTCCTCATCACTTTTCCAAAAGTGTGCTTAAAAAAAAAAATAAAAAAAATAAAGGATGGAGACTGACTCGCAGAATTCATGCATAACGCATTCCCTTCTCAAATGCGTTAATACATCAATCACAGCTTGACTTGGACGGAAGAGACCCGGTCTAGCAATTTTGCCGTGGAGAAAATTTTCATCACAATCAATTGGGGGTCCTGTTTTCTTTTTGATTTTTTAAAAGCTGATAATTTTATTTTAACTTTTCATATTTGAAAACTTTTAAAACCACTTTTTATATTTCCTCCAAAATTCTCAACTCTACAAATATGAGTTTTGATTTTGAAATACTGTTATTTTATTATTTTTTAAAATGAGAATTAAAAAATTTAATTTTATTATTTTTCACAATTAGAGAAATGCTATTTTCTTATTTTTAAATTGTACTCAAATAATAAATAAAATTAATATATATATATATATATATATATTTTATTATACTCTAATAGAAAAATTTAAAATATTATTTTATTATTTTATTAATTTTCAAATATACTCATATAGTAAATAAAATTAAAAATATATTTTATCATTCTCAAATAGTAAAATTAAAAATGTTATTTTATTATTTTTCAATTATACTCAAATAATAATAAATCTAATTTTTTTATTTATTATACTTGAATAATAAAACTAAAAATGTTATTTTATTATTTTATTAATTTTCAATCATACTCAAGTAGTAAATAAGATATTATTTTATTATTTTTTAATTATACTCAAATAATAAATAAAATTAAAAAATATTTATTATACTCTAATAGTAAAATTAAAAAATGTTATTTTATTATTTTTCAAATATACTCAAATAGTATATAAAATTAAAATTTTATTTTATTATACTCGAATAGTAAAATAAAAAATGATATTTTATAATTTCATTAATTTTCAATTATACTCAAATAGTAAATAAAATATTATTTTATTATTTTTCAATTATACTCAAATAATAAAAAAAATTATTATACTCGAATAATCAAACAAAAAATGTTATTTTATTATTTTATCAATTTTCAATTATAGTTGAATAGTAAATAAGATATTATTTTACCATTTTTCAATTATACTCAAATAATAAACAAAATTTAAAAATATTTATTATACTCTAATAGAAAAATTAAAAGTATTATTTTATTATTTTTCAATTATACTCAAATAATAAATAAAAGGGTCAATTTAAAAAATAAAAAAGAATTACCAAACATATTTTCTTTTTTTCTTTTCAAAAATTCAATCACAGGGGTTACGAAACGTATTTAGTTTTGACCGAAATGATTACACGACTTTTCAAAACTTGTCATTTTCATATAAATAAAAGTACAACCAAAAAATGAAAATCAGAATTATATCAAACAGACATGGATCACATTGTTTTGGATTATTTCATTCTGCCGTTGCCGAGAAGGTCACAAAGCAAACGTAATTTGAAAAGGATCACATGACAGCGCTTTAGCTTATTGTGACTTCAGCCCGTACGCTTGATTCACATAAAAATTACTAAATCTGTTTTGAATGAATTTCTCAACCACAGGACCATCCAAAAAAACCTAGTTTTCACATAAATTTAAACTATTGAGATTTTAAACCTAATTTTTATAAGATTCTTTTTTATAGCAGAAGAACTCTAAGAAATAGTCCAATAAAAAAAAGGATTTGAAGACAATATTCATCACCTTCATATATAATAAATATTTATATTCTTGGAGTTAATTGACATGGAAGGTTGACGAGCTCAGGAAACCCTCACCAAAAATGGCAATCCCAAAATCAGCTCCTAAATTAAAGTAAAATGTACTGGCCTTTTGATTCAGTTTTCTGTTTGGGAAAAAAAAATCAAATTAGTCTCAAAATTCGTTTAAGTGACAATTGTGTTGAAACCAATATACGAGGAAATTTTTTTTAAGAAAAGAACCGAATTTAATAAAATATTTTGGTTCACTTGGGCGAGTGGGATTATCAGTCTTTTTCTTAAAATTACTGTTTGTTTTTAAAGTTCTTATGAATTATTTATGTATATTTGGTTTAAAAAACAATCTGAACTTCTCGGATTTTCTTTTAGTTATTTGTGAATTCGAACCCATATCTTTCCAACTAAAATAAGTTACAGTGTAAATTTGAAAATTTCCATGTAAGGGGCTCCCTAAAAATTTTGAAAAGGAGGAAAAACAGTTATTATTGTGGCTTCCTGAAAATTTTAAAAAGAAAGAAAAACAGTTATTATTGTGGGGAAAAAAAAAAGGAAATGCATATTACCTACCACCCAAAATAAATAAAACAAAAATGAATAAA